TACATCAGTTCGAGTTGCCATACCACATTAGCACAGAGATACAATTGTCGATTCAAATCCCATAGTGGTGGAGCATTAATCGGAAACATTAGGGTTTGAAGATGCTATTCGAGGATTATAATTCAGTGAACCTACTCTTACACCTTAAAAACATCGCACGTCAGGGCGGTTCGTGGTTGGGCATACGTAACACATGTCCCAGCCATCTCAACTGATGAAGTTTCACTACGTCATCAATTGATTTGCCATCCTTACCTAGTACCCGTTTCCTAACAACTGTGTTACTTACTCGATGGTCCCATGATATACGAGCAATGTTTCGAAGACACCTATGATCAAATACTAGTAACCTACGGATATCCTCTACTCTTACCGGCCATGTTTCACTGCCATAAAGTAGGACGGAACGAACTGCTGCGCAGTAAACACGTCCTTTGGTTGATAGACGGATATCTCGCCTACGCCATAAATGACGCAAGTTGGCAAAAGCTAGTCGAGCCTTCTGTATCCGTGCTGAGATTTCGTCACACAATAAACCACAAAGGCTGATGAGACTTCCAAGATAAGTGAAGCGGTCGACACACTCAACTACTTCACTCCCTATCACTAGTTCGGGTGTCAATGTAACCCAATCCTGAAGGAACATTTTGCATTTCGAGGGAGAGAATTGCATGCCGAACATGCTTGCATTGTTGCTTAGAGTAGTCAGAAGACTCTGTATTTTGTCAGCGTCTTTATCAAATAGAACTGTCATCAGCATATTCTAAGTCAACAAGTGAACCTCCTGGTAGAAGTTCAACCCCTGTAAATCTAGACGAGGAAAGTGTAGTCTCTAAAAGTACGTCGACGACAAAGTTGAACGAGAATGGAGAGAGTGGGCAGCACTGACGAACACCACTTGAGGTAATCAATTCTGATGACAGTTCGCCATAAGCTTTCACTCTACCAGTTGTGTTCGAGTAGAAAGCCTCTATAATGTTAATGTATTCTTTGGTACGCCTTTCAGTGACAAACACTGCCATAGAACCTCACGATCAACAGAGTCAAATGCCGCCTCAAGGTTGAGAAATACCGCTGTTGTAGGACTTCTGAATGTGTGTTTGTGTTCTAGAACCTGACCTAGTGTGAATACCTGGTCTATGCAGCCACGTTCAGGTCGTAAACCAGCCTGATTTTCTCTAGTCTGTTCTTCATGAGCTTTAGTTAGGCTCCGAAGTATTATTGAAGCTAATATTTTAGAAACTATATTTGTCAAACTGATTCCTCTGTGATTGTCACAAGAGGACTTTTGTCCTTCCTTATAGACTGGCACAATCAGTTATTGAGACCAGTCAGATGGGATTACGTCCAGTTCCCAAATTCTACCTAAGACCTCAGTTAATCTCACTGCTAATACTGGACCACCATCCTTAAAAATCTCAGGGGTGAATCGGTCAGGCCCTGCTGCTCTCCTTCGCTTCAGATTTCCTGTTTTTTTCAACTTCGTAAAGAGACGGAGGACCTACACTAATTTGCCATTCAGGTTGACTGGAGATCGTGGGAAACCGAGGTGTGGCTGAAGGCCAGTTGAACTGATCCCTAAAGTGTTCTGCCGATCGATCCAGTCTCCTGGATTGAGAATGAATAACATATCCATCTTTCTCCGAGATAGTTTCGCTAACAGTTAGATCCATAATACCGGTTTCCACGACAAGTCTGAACAGTTGTCTGATGCCACCTATTGCAGCTGCCTTTTCCATCTCTTTTGCTTTCGCTACCCACCACTGTTCACGATCATTGCATGGGTTTATTATCAGCCTGCACTTAAGCTGACTCCGCTCTTCGTCATGTTCAGAGCCAGATGAGATGGGTTTTCGGGCATCTATCAGTGCGGCAGATGCTACTGAGATCCAGTGTTTCCCATTAACATTATGGTTTACCTTATTAGCGGATATCACTGCTGTTTCCACAGCTTTTCGAATATCGTTCCACGCTGCCTGAGGGTGGGCATCATTTACATGGCTGTCCAACTGTTTTTCTTGTTGTTCGTGAAATGTATTCTTAGCCTGGCTATCATTAAGTAGGACCCTAAGAGGTTTCCTTGCAGCGTCTTTCCTACGTCCAGTAAGACGCAGACAGATACGCGCTCGCACTAGAGCATGATTTGAATCTAAGCATGTGCTCCAGAATGAGTGATAGCCTTCTATCGAGCCCCTCCATCGGTGGTTGATAGCGATGTGGTCTATTTGAATCCAAAGTTGGGACGAATTCGCGGGTCGCCATGTCAAAAGGTGTTTTTCTTTATGCCTAAAGTTAGTATTTGCAAGGAACAGGCGATTATCTGAGCATAGCTGCAACAGACGGTCGCCATTATCTGTTCTTTGAGCTACGACGCTACAAGATCCACCCAGGTGTCCTTCCCTTCCGCTTAGTTTACCTACTTGAGCATTAAAGTCACCAGCCACTATTACTACATCAGAGCTGGTGGAGAAGATTTGTAGCTCAGGTGGGTGATTTTGATGCGGTTTTGCTTTCTGAGCTGGATTGGCCGTGGAGCTTTCATCGTTCTTCTGAACATCATCAGCACAAACTTCAGATAGAAGTGGAGTGTTCGAATTTCTCCAGTCCAAGAGAGCTGGTTCTAACCTAGGACTCAATGCTACACATACACCAGCGAGCCCACGGGAAGCAGCATCAGGGCTTCCAGATACACGAAGCGTGAAACGAGTTGCGTCTTTATCTTGATATGGTGAGGTCAAATAAATGACGCTAGTCGAATCCTGTATGCGCGTTTCGGAGACGCAGCACACATCGATGGGGCGAGATTCTAAAGTCCTAGCTAAGGAAGTCTGTTGTCGTATGTGGCATATTGTTCGGACGTTAAGAGCTCCTACGTGTAGTTTAGAGAGTGGTTTTAGGAGACCAGGAATAATGTTCCGCGTACTTTAATCGTTTGCATTAGCGGCGCGAGGTGATAAAGGAACGCGAGAAGGGTTAGTCGTGGAGATAAGAGAGTTATTAGGAGGTGTATGAAGGATTTGAGTGTGAAAACCTTGGTCTCATTTGCTGTTACGGGGATGAGGGCTGATGTCACTTCCCGGCTGCCCGCACCGTGGAAGGGTATTTCTTGGAGAACCTGAGGAATTCGGATTAGTGTTGGTCCTAACGACCTAGGAGCGTAACCGCAGGGCCCAAGGGACAACTGCTTGAGGCCGGTCGCGCACGGCCGTTTTGTGGGAAGCTTTTAACGTGTTACCTCCACTCTATAAAGGGCCTTACCGCCGGAGACGGAGATCCGTGAAGTAAGGTGAGGTGTGACATTTTTAGGGTCGACCTTTTCTAACCTCCTCCTTCCTTATGAGAAGGCAGAGTCGCTGCAGATGCTGGTTACCCGAGGGAAACACCTTACTACTGTCACACTACTCTACAGTCAGTAGTACGACATCGCCCTCAAACTTTGAGTTGCTGCTTTTAGTCTTACCGTTCTGCAATCGACCTGACTGGCATGGTAGAACCTACAGGAATATATATTCCAGCTAATATAGCTTGGTTGGGTCATCACGATAGGCAAGCCCGACCACCACGTCAAGATAGCAGCTACGGACAGAAGAAAAAAGTCAGTGATATATTCACACGTCGCTCGTCAAAAATTAATGAATACAGAAATTAAACAAAAGAGGAAACAAATTAGATGAAGATATAAAAACGCTTGTTTGTACTGAACAGTATCGTGAACTACATTAACGATAATGAGTTGTTAGAAGCAAATTTGGTTTGAATATTTCGACATTCTCACATGTTTGAGGTTAGGATAAGTGCATCGAAGTGTTATTTCGAGAGTGGGAAAGATAAAAATGGAAAAAAACCCATACTCATGAGGTTTAAGTAAATATTTATAGTCAGTATAGGGTTGTGAAGATTATTGAGTCTAGATTGATACCATGAATGGATCTATGTTACACCACCATTAAAAACCTGGAGGGCTATTTTGTACTAGTATGGGATCCTCAAAAGTGCGTATCTATGGTTCCACATGTGGGGCTTGAAGGTTCTGGGTCTAACATTGATCCATTCATGATGTCAATCTAAATATGTATAACCCCAGCGAAAATTACACTCTTGCATGCAGCACGCCCACTGAATGAGCAAAAAGTTATAGATTTGCGCTAATTCAATTTACAAGAAAGGATGGTTATCCTTATATATTGATTTGGATTCAAATGTGATCATTCACAGAAAAATCTTAAATTTTTAATGCATGTATAGTCTGCATTATCGGATGTTTGGCCCAATTAATTTCCAATTATGTAAATAATGCAATCAAACTACTTTTTTTAAAGATTTTTTTAACTGAATAATCGTAAACATTAACCATATTTACTCATTATGAAAGGTGTACAAATTATTGCAAGGCAGTATACTGGCAGAAGACCGAAACACTCCAGCCCTTGGTAGGTTTTTCTTTTTATCTATCCTTTGAAGTATTAAGATTCGAATATCTTATAAAAAAGAAATAATTGTAGCAGCTGAACTGGTAGATGTAAGATATTGACAAATAAAAACATTTTTAAAATTCGTTTTAAATAATTACAATTTGAATGTATGCTAAAGGGATATTTATTATTGTAGCATCGTACAACTTTTGCTGAGGATTATTTACTGTACCAAAACTTATATTACTAAATAAATCCACTATTATTGTCAGTTATTACTATCATATAACTTTAACATGGGATATTAACAAATACAATTATTCGTGTTTTCAAACATCAAACAGAGTTAAAACTCGATGATTTGAGTTATTTTTTACTCATTTTGTTTATCAATCATTGGAAAATACAAACATCATAATAAGATATTTGTCGTCTCACGGGTTAAAAATACTGACTGCTACTACAAGTTTGTCTTATACATCACTTAAAAATTATACGCGAAAACGACTATACCACTGAAAGTCTTGAAGCTGATTGAAATAAAGGTAGAACATAACTCCAGTGATGAAGCGAACAAAGGAAGACAATCAGTAAGAATATGTTTATTTCCTCAAAAAAAAAAAATGCAAAATTCATGCACTCCAAACAAAAAAGAGAACGAAGTAAAAACTAGCCTGTACATATATATAATATGGGTGGTGTGACAAAATAACATTATTGATAATAATAGTAATAATAATGATTGTATTATCATTATAGAAACACAAGCCCATCACAGTGCAGCAGATAATAAATATATCGCCTAATAGTAATAACTGATAAGAACAGAATAAAAAAGAAAGTATTCGGTAAGTTATTTATATAGATATACATGAGCACATCATTTGTTAATCAATGAGAAACAGTCTAAAACTGCCAAAGAAAGTGGATATAAAGCGACATATTGAGAGAGGGAGGAAGGGAGAGTATCAGCTGTTCATAGAAAATACAATTATGAAGAAAAGAGAGAAAGAAATATTCACATAAGGAACCTTTGGCACTTGTCACCAAATACAACATTAGCTCAAAATTAAAAGATTATGCACAGTGTACAATCAGGCATACACTTTTGTATAACGGAATAGTTACTTATTGATAAAATTTGAAAATATAATTGCATGAATTGTTAAACCGGTAGTCAATTTTAAATAGAATAAAACTTGAGCAGTGTATAAATGAAACAATTATGATTTACTAAAAAAGGTTGAGTTTGTACTATTTTTTGTGTATAGGTAGTTGTTACTGTTATTGATTAAATGCAGGATTAATTTTGTGTTTCTAGTGATACTCAGAAAATATGCTTCTCATCTATACAATACTGAGTTGTCGATGTTGATGGTGTATTTTCATCAAACGAACTGGATAATAGTGTGAGGCACTCAAAAATTGTCGGAGAAGATTCAAGATTAGCAAAGGCTAAATCACATAAAAGATTCTCACAAGAACTTACATAACTAAAATTAAGATACAGAAAAATATAAACATTAAATCAATCTAATCAGACAAATGAACCAAATAGTTAGTAATATTAACTACGAAAAAATGATTACTTTATTTAATAGTAATTTACATCAAAAATTGATATCAGATAAACAATTACTAAAAAGTATGCAGTAAAAATATGTTTCGTATAAGTTTTACATTTACCTAACCAATCATAGATAATGTGGGATTTAAGACAAATATTAATTAGTCCAATTCGCTATTACTAAACATCAACACAGTAAAAAAAGAAAAATTAAGGAACTTAAAAGTAAGGGTCGAAATAAAATTGTTAAATATCATGAAGCAAGTAAACTATAGAATGTAAATCGGAGAGAACGAATAACATCGCGGAGAAAGTCTCCAAATCAAATATTACGATAATCGTACAAATTTATGGGCTGAAACGTAATTTAGTCGCTAGTAGACTTCTTCCAACCTATTGAATACTAACGAACCTAGCGTATATGATTAGGGAGCAGCTGGTATATGCTTTACAGTCTTATCAATTGATTTACCATTCCCACATCTTTGAGAGATGAGTGTATGTTAATATTGAAATATTTGAGTTTTCTTTTTGTTACTTTATGAAAATGTAAAAAGTGAAAAATCCGGTTAAGCCAGTACATATCATACTGGTTAAAGAATTAATAGTAATCAATCAAGGAACCAATATTTGTAAAACACGCAACGTTAAGGGGTAGGATATTTGTGTAGCTTATCCAACTTGAAAATAGTTTACATAAATAATGTTACAAGCTACCATACTTATAAACACAATCGAGAATAAGTGAACAATTTAAGAGTACTTAAGCTGGATGATGTGATCCTACAAGGAGTATTAATTCCCTCAAGATTGTAGATACGTCTTGATGTGTGCCAACTAGTAAAAAATCTAGGTCTACGGTTTCTAGTCAACTACTTCTGACCACCTAACATAGATGTTATAAATTTTATGAATAAAAATCCACTTTATCTGACACACTACAACTAAACTTTGCTTCACATAAAAGGAATGCTACAGTGATTGCTAATATATATTATTAACGAACACTTGATACATGAATATGTAGTAATACGACATATCCCTTTTACTACAGTGAATGATAAAAAGCAGTTTGTTAAAACTACGTACCGTCGTGCAACATCACTATATTGTAATAAATTTCTTAAAGCTAGAGCCGCAGTAAGTCGGAGGTGCTTAGTTACAGGCCCTTCATGAACTGGTGTAGGTGCGAAAGGTGGATTAGGAATTCCTCCAGTCAGAGCTCTACGACACTCTTCTGATAGAATATTCGACAATTGTAATTCATCATACACGAACGGCTTTTCGATTTGACATGAAGAATGACTTGGATTTTTTTCTGAAAGTGTTTCGGAATTCACTGGGGTATAAATCGGTTGATTTTTATTAACTGCAGAAGATATAACATTATCATTAGTTGATAAACCATTCGGTGAAGATTCCACACTAACAGGTAATTGAATGTTGTGTTTAGCACGTAAATGATCCATCAGTATATCAAAACTGGGACCAGATATCACTTCAGAACAGTTCCCCCAAACACATTTTATCTGCAAAATGAAAACCAAAATGAAATAATAAGTGATTCTCTCTCTCTTTCCCTATCTATCTATCTATCTATCTATCTATCTATCTATCTATCTATCTATCTATCTATCTATCTATCTATCTATCTATCTATCTATCTATCTATCTATCTATCTATCTATCTATCTATCTATCTATCTATCTATCTATCTATCTATCTATCTATCTATCTATCTATCTATCTATCTATCTATCTATCTATCTATCTATCTATCTATCTATCTATCTATCTATCTATCTATCTATCTATCTATCTATCTATCTATCTATCTATCTATCTATCTATCTATCTATCTATCTATCTATCTATCTATCTATCTATCTATCTATCTATCTATCTATCTATCTATCTATCTATCTATCTATCTATCTATCTATCTATCTATCTATCTATCTATCTATCTATCTATCTATCTATCTATCTATCTATCTATCTATCTATCTATCTATCTATCTATCTATCTATCTATCTATCTATCTATCTATCTATCTATCTATCTATCTATCTATCTATCTATCTATCTATCTATCTATCTATCTATCTATCTATCTATCTATCTATCTATCTATCTATCTATCTATCTATCTATCTATCTATCTATCTATCTATCTATCTATCTATCTATCTATCTATCTATCTATCTATCTATCTATCTATCTATCTATCTATCTATCTATCTATCTATCTATCTATCTATCTATCTATCTATCTATCTATCTATCTATCTATCTATCTATCTATCTATCTATCTATCTATCTATCTATCTATCTATCTATCTATCTATCTATCTATCTATCTATCTATCTATCTATCTATCTATCTATCTATCTATCTATCTATCTATCTATCTATCTATCTATCTATCTATCTATCTATCTATCTATCTATCTATCTATCTATCTATCTATCTATCTATCTATCTATCTATCTATCTATCTATCTATCTATCTATCTATCTATCTATCTATCTATCTATCTATCTATCTATCTATCTATCTATCTATCTATCTATCTATCTATCTATCTATCTATCTATCTATCTATCTATCTATCTATCTATCTATCTATCTATCTATCTATCTATCTATCTATCTATCTATCTATCTATCTATCTATCTATCTATCTATCTATCTATCTATCTATCTATCTATCTATCTATCTATCTATCTATCTATCTATCTATCTATCTATCTATCTATCTATCTATCTATCTATCTATCTATCTATCTATCTATCTATCTATCTATCTATCTATCTATCTATCTATCTATCTATCTATCTATCTATCTATCTATCTATCTATCTATCTATCTATCTATCTATCTATCTATCTATCTATCTATCTATCTATCTATCTATCTATCTATCTATCTATCTATCTATCTATCTATCTATCTATCTATCTATCTATCTATCTATCTATCTATCTATCTATCTATCTATCTATCTATCTATCTATCTATCTATCTATCTATCTATCTATCTATCTATCTATCTATCTATCTATCTATCTATCTATCTATCTATCTATCTATCTATCTATCTATCTATCTATCTATCTATCTATCTATCTATCTATCTATCTATCTATCTATCTATCTATCTATCTATCTATCTATCTATCTATCTATCTATCTATCTATCTATCTATCTATCTATCTATCTATCTATCTATCTATCTATCTATCTATCTATCTATCTATCTATCTATCTATCTATCTATCTATCTATCTATCTATCTATCTATCTATCTATCTATCTATCTATCTATCTATCTATCTATCTATCTATCTATCTATCTATCTATCTATCTATCTATCTATCTATCTATCTATCTATCTATCTATCTATCTAACTGGGAAATTTTTGATTCTAAGCAATTAGTTTTAAAACCAAGTTGATACTATAATGGACGAAAACTAAAAAATTTCAATTACTAGTGTATATCATATAAAGTTGTGACAAATCGAGTTTTCCTGCAAACAAAAATCTACAGACATATGGTGAATAAATCGATACTTGACGAATAGAATGAGTTGCATATTCCCTCTAAGATACAAAAAGTGTTCGTCGAGATTGTTGAACTCCCCCAATTTTATGTAATTTTGTTACAGATATCCCTTTTGAAGAAAACGCTCTTATAATACGACTTTCCAGAGATTGATTAACTAACAGGAGATTCATTTGTTGACTTGCAATACGCAGATGAAATAGCCGGGTTTGATAAAGGCGCCGGCAAAATACAATTTTTCAATCATCTTGAGAAACAGTGCAACGATGATTACAATGTATTCCTCTCCCTCTAAATGCATCTTCAGGACTAGTCTGGCAACGCCTGAACTAAATATAGAAAGTGAAGAAGTTGAGTACACTGACCACTTCACTTATATTGGAGGTTTCATTAATCCAAATGGGTTGGTGTCTGATGAAATTTCGGGACAGATTCAGTAAGATCGGCTGATTTCGTCAACTTGCGCCACTCGTGGCGTAGGCGAGATATCCGTCTGCCAAACAAAGGACGAGTATATTGTGCAGCAGTTGGCTCTGTTTATGATATGTGGCCCATAAAAATAGAGGATATTTGTAGGTTACTAGTATTTGATGGTAGAGACCTTCGAGGCATTGGACCTGTATGTTGAGACTACCTAGTGAGTGATGCGGATGTTGGAGCCAAGGTACTCGTTTGGGATGGCAAGTTGACCGATAAAGTAATGAACCTCCATCAACTGAGGTGGTTAGGAGATGTATTACGCACGTTTAACCACCACCTACATAGACACTCGAAGATGGCTGGTATATAGATTGAAATAAAACTAGAGGAGGTCGAATCAAAACGTCATATTAACCAACGAAGTCAACAGTCGTTGAAGTGAACAATGTAGGTAGGTGCAGATTACCTGGTTGTGGTTCGCGCGATTATCGCAACTAGTGGTTAATGACATCGTTCGCCATGGTGCAGATGCATTTACGTTTCTCCCCTTTGGATTCTTAATTATTTTAGGACTTTTTTATTTCGTGGATCATTACTTCCTCTTTTAATCACTTTTCTTTGATTAAATGTTTCTACTAACACTGATAGTATAATTATTAATACCAATCTGGCCATTTATTATGTTGATGTGCTGTGGCAACTTGAACCGATGAACGTGTGTCAGGTTCAACTAGGTTCATGACTGATTAACAAAAAACGTGAATCTATTTTAATTCACATTAACGAAGTCGACAGTACTCTGGCTACAAATACTTTCAAATGAATGATGAGAAGTCAGATATATTAAAACAACACAAATTAATACAAGTGATAGCAACGCGTAAACGATGATTTAGGGACTCAGGGACTTACTTGATCTGAATTTTGAATAGATTTGTAGTGAATATTTTGAAAGTGCCTGCAAAGTTCAACAGACTCTGAAAATGTTTGCATACATTTATCCCACATACAGAATAATTGTACACATTTACCACGATCAGTGGAAACCCTGTTTGTATAATTTCCTGAAATAATTGAGTCATCTAATTGCTTTGCTAGTTTACAGCTACGATCCGATGAAGTAGATGATATGCTGTTCGGTGTTAAGGAAGACGTGATGACGTTGACTTTAGTTTTAGAAATAGTTGTAGTATGGTCAATGTTAGAACAAATTGGAATAGTGTTGTTAGCTTTATTAATTTCATGGTTTTCAGAGGTTTGCATTTTGATCATCATGGGAACTTCGCTAGTTGGAGTTCCGTTGAGTGTCAAATTATGGCCCATACCATAAGTAGTAAAGACAGGAACGATCATAATCTTGGAGTCGGGTAAGGATACCACTGCTGTTGCTCGTACAGGCGTTGTACATTTCTTTTGAACACAACCATCTTCATTTGTATTTAATGAAGCATTCAGCTTCCTGACAGGTGATCCATTATGAAGTCTAGGACAAAGCGGACCGGTCAAAAGGATATATATATATATATATATATATATATATATATATATATATATATATATATATATATATATATATGGATATGTATAATTAGAAATCTAGTATATTAGAGTGCAAAATTTTGCACCGTGTTATAAATAAATGAAGATAGAGAAGCATATATTCTTTCTGTGTTTAAATCAGGAAGAATATCTGGAAGTGGTGTAATCACAAGTAATCTAACAACTTCGGCTAAAACATTTAGAGTGGATCCCCGTTAACAGTCGTCTATGTGCTGTTCGGCTAAGCGGCCCCGTAAAAACTCGAAAAGATAGGGACACACGTCATTGTCTTCTCGTCGTTTCTGCCTACGCTCCCACTGACTGCAGCTCAGATGAAGTGAAAGATGAATTTTACAGAAAGCAGTCCGAACTTCTTCAGAAAGCTAAACGCTCAGACATAGTACTCGTAGCAGGTGATTTTAATGCTCAGATAGGTAGCTTAAACCAAACAGAAAGGCATTTAGGTGGATATTTTAGTATTCCGACACAGCGAACAGATAATGGTGATCGTCTGCTGCAGCTATGCTCAGACAATCGTTTATTTTTAGCAAACACAAATTTTAAGCATAAGGAGAGACATCGTCTAACATGGCGACCCCCTACACCAAACCAACGATGGACTCAAATAGACCATATTGCCATCAGTCATCGTTGGAGAGGGTCGGTAGAAGATTGTCGCTCATTCTGGAGTACCTGCTTGGACTCCGACCATGCCCTAATACGGGCACGCATCTGCTTGCGCCTCACTGGACGCAAAAAAGCCACACTAACAAGACCGATTAGAATTGAATTGAGTAGCGAGAAAACCAAAAGTAGGTTCCAGGAACAACTGAGTTCACACTTAGGTAGTTTTGGAAACGTGGTTGACCCAGATGTTGCTTGGAAAGCTATACAAACAACTGTGGAAACAGTAGTGAAATCTATCAATGATTTAAACCACAGGGTTACAAAGAACCAATGGATTTCCTCATGGTCTATTGCACCGATGGATTCTCGCAAACTCATCCCATCAGGCTCTGAACACGATGAAGAGCGAAAACAAATCAGATCTAGGTTAAGCAGTAGTCTAAGGAACGACCGTGAGCAGTGGTGGGCAACGAAAGCAAAAGAGATGGAAAAGGCGGCGACTATAGGGAATACAAGACAGCTCTACAGACTAATAAAAGAAACTGGAATTAATAAGTCAAGTGTAAGTCAGACTATTTCGGAAAAAGACGACACCCTCATCTGCTCTCAGTCCAGATGTTTAGAACGATGGGCGGAACATTTTAGAGAACAGTTCAGCTGGCCTTCAGCTACTCTACAACTACCCTACATTCCCAGACAATGTGAATGGAACATTGAAGTAGGTCCCCCAACTCTTGCTGAAGTTCAAAAGGCTATAGTTAATCTGAAACGACGAAGGGCAGCTGGTCCAGATGGACTGGCTCCAGAGGTCTTTAAGGATGGTGGCCCAATTTTAGCGATTAGGTTGACTAATATTTTAGCTAAGATCTGGGAATTAGACTTTATCCCATCTGACTGGTCACAATCACTTATCGTCCCAATATATAAGAGAGGGTTAAAATTATCCTGTGACAACCATAGAGGGATTAGTTTAACTAATATAGTATCTAAAATACTAGCTTCGATGATTATCGGACGCCCAACTAAGACTCGTGAACTACAAACACGAGAGAATCAAGCTGGCTTCAGACCTGGTCGTGGCTGCATCGACCACATATTCACCATTCGTCAGGTTCTGGAACACAGGCATACTTATCGGCGTCCGACAATGGTGGTCTTTCTTGACTTCAAAGCAGCATTTGACTCCGTATACCACGAGATCCTGTGGCAGTGTCGGTCATTGAAAGGCGTACCTCAGAAGTACATAAACCTTGTGAAGGCTCTTTACTCGAACACTACTAGTCGAGTCAGAGCTTATGGCGAACTGTCATCTGCTTTTGCAACTTCAAGTAGTGTCCGTCAAGGCTGTTCACTTTCTCCATTGTTGTTTAACTTCATCATAGACCTATTGATGGAAATAACATTCTCGTCTACTGAATTCTCGGGTATTGATTTCCTTCCAGGAAATCCACTTGTCGACTTAGAATACGCAGATTATATAGTCCTGTTTGATGAGTACTCTGATAAAATGCAGAGTCTTTTGATATCACTAAGCAACAATGCCAGGATTTTTGGGATGAGTTTCTCCCCCTCTAAATGCAAGTTGTTGCTTCAGGACTGGACTGCGTCAACACCTGAACTAAGGATAGGGAGTGAATTAGTCGAACACGTTGACAACTTTATTCATCTTGGAAGTCCGATCAGCCCTAATGAGTTAGTGTCTGACGACATCTCAGCACGGATTCGAAAAGCTCCTTTGGCTTTTGCCAACTTACGTCACCTTTGGCGGAGGCGAGATATCCGTCTATCAACAAAAGGACGGGTATACTGTGCGACAGTCCGTTCTGTTTTAATTTACAGCAGCGAAACAGGGCCATTAAGAGTAGAAGATACTCGTAAGCTACTAGTATTTGACCACAGATGCCTTAGAAATATTGCTGGCGTCTGCTGCGATCACCGGGTAAGTAATAGTGAGGTTAGACGCAGGGTATTAGGGAATGATGGTAAATCAGTTGATGAGATTATGAATCTTCATCGACTGAGATGGTTGGGCCACGTATTACGTATGCCACGACGTGCAATGCTGACAGGTGTCCGAGATGGTTGAAAGCAAGTTAGGGGCGGCCAAACCAAAACGTGGCATCAGTGCCTGAAGTCACTAACTTCTAGTCTGAGCCATGTTGGTAGATGCAGACTACTTGGTTGGGGTCCGCGTGACTTTCGTAACCAATAGTTGGAGACTCTTGGTGACATGGCTCAGAATCGATCACAATGGCGTCGGTGTATACACTCTCTGTCTTCACTTAAACTAAGAGATTAAAATCGCTTCACATGTTTCTTTCTACGAACTAATTCTTTCTTCCTGTATTATATCCTTATTGCAATCTTTCTTTTATACATTACCACCTCTGAATTAACTACATTTATGAACCTGGTGTCCGTCTTGTTGTGTTATTGAGGTATGGCAACTTGGACCGATGCATATATATGCCTGGTCCTACGTTGTAGCTGACTAACTGGCTAGGACATTCGAAAATGTCATGTCATGTGCCCTCATATTATGGACGTCAGAATCTAACTAGATTTTTTACAACCACTAAAGTAGCTTCCATAAAATACGGTACAGAACACAAAAAATACTGAGATATCATATAAAGTAGGAACTGAAAACGAGGACCTTATCTATACGCTTCCAAAAAGTGCAACAAACGAGACTGTTGCACAGATGCATACGATTTTCAATATTATTGATAAAGAATTTTCATAATTTTATTTATTTATTTGAACACATAAATATTGGTACAAGGAGGCACCAGACATATGTGCGCCACACAATTTCCAGCATAACCAAAAGAATTTGAAAACTATATTTCTCGATAAGCCTCCAAATGCCCTCACATGGTCACGTGCATACAACCACTGCCATGGAAGTCCTGCTCACTGCCTTCTCGTGGTGGGGGTGTTTTTTACGAAACCAAGAGGACGAAAAGCGAATGTCTGGCATTTTAACCGGGTTGATGGATATGGAAGATTCACCTACGGGAGTTGGGAGACCTTGATTTTAAACCAATAGTGCACATGGGCTTCAGGATCACAAGGAAACAAATGGCGTATGAACCTATTGTTGATCACCGGCTACCATTGGACTGAGTTTCCCTGCGTTGCTCCGTCGCCTTGTGGATTAGACCTTTAGGTTAAAGGCTCCGGGTGTGGCCTCCTAATAAAACCAGCTGCTTCAGTTTTGGCACTCGGGCAGTATCCCAGCCCTCGCACATATCAATGATAACTGCTACTGGCCTCGTTGTTATTGTGGCGCATATGTATTTAGTACCCCATTGTACCAGCCCTCACGCAAATCGGATGATTTATGTGGCGTATATCGATTTGGTGCCTCCTTGTACGAATGTTTGTGTTTTTAAAAAATAATAATTTCTCGACAACTTACCTTGTGGTCGTGTTGAGCACGTCTGTAGTATCACGAGATAAACCATTTAAAGGACAAACCAACTGTCCATTAGTTAATTTAGGGGATTCAAGATGGCCATTCAAATCACAAACATCAATTTGTGAACTTTTAAGTACCTGGTTTTGCAGATCCTCATTTTTTGAAGCCAGTTTAGGAGAGGCAGGATGAAGAAAGGCCCCAGTTGCCGGTCTTTTACGGCACTACAAAAGTATAAAGATGAAAAGTTTTTAGTACATTAGACTAAAAAATCGTTATCTTCATTTATGAGATTCTATCAAAATACGATCGTAGTTTCACAGATACACGTTAATAAATGGTAAAACTAGCTAATTAAATAACATGAAACTTGGTAACCAAGTGCATGTAGCTCTAAGCTACATTTATTGTACAAGGACTAGTGATATTACCACAGAGCCTAAATCGAAGTAGGTGGTGGAGTTGAGATTCTTGACCCTATAATGCTCTGACTATTAGGCCACCGTCTCAGGACACTAAATATTTTAGGGTGTTTTTTTAAAGTTATATCTGAGGTATTAGCCTAAATTTCTCCAAATAATTTGAATATTTTATTAAACTGGATTTCACTTTACTTGGGGCATATAAAACCTGGTTTTAATCAATTAGCTAATAAAAACATTTGAAATACCAGATTCCGTATCTCAGTAACTCTCCCAGTTTTATTTTTATAATCAAGAAGTTAGGAGTAAACTAGATACGAATTCTGATGTATAAACATTTGGCGAACGTTAAATTTTCTTTTACAAAATTGCGATCACAATAATAATTACAAAAAGCGATCAGTTTTTAAGTGGGAATCTATAAATAAGTATTTAATTCTTAACAAATATGAAACAACTATGATGCAAAAGATAAAATATATCTTAAGTAAATGATAAACAAAATAAAACTAACTTTGGTTTTTGGAGAACGTGATTCATGACACATGGATTCAATTTTGGTGGGACTTAAAACGGATGCCATAATATCATTTATGCCTAAAAAATGTGAATTGATTATACCACTTACCTTGTTGACTTTCAGGTTCAGGAGCATTAACATGTTTTAAGTTGTTGTAGTGAATTTCTACACTTCCTCCCGGTACTTGTACTTTCACCTGACCTACTCCAGGAAATATAGTTCTACAGTGGAAGAAGATAAATTAACTAGAATCAAATGATGTAAGAATAATGAAAAATAAATATTCTAATGTAGTAATAAATACATTAGTGAAACAAAATGTTTCATCTAAATTGAACAGATTACTTACTTAATTTGTGAATGGAAGTCAACAGGCGAAATTGCAACAATATTTTTGAATCGTTGTAGATGTGCTTTTTGATATTCATTATATATTTGAATACGCGGAATGCTAGAGTGATTATGTACAGCATAATTACTTTTAAGCCATTCAAACATGAATTCACGTCTATCAAGTTGAGGTATACCATTTTCAGTAGCAAGGGGTTTTGATGGTGGATTTACATGTTTTTGAATTTCTGAGTTAATAGTAGGTGTGTTGAGTGCCGGTGTACTAGATAACTTTTGAGGTAAACACACTTTACTCATGAGATCATTTGTAGATGAGATACTAGTATTTACAGTAGCAGAATTCATAGTTGATGTTATGTGTGACGACTGTATCACAGATAAACCTGGTTTGCTAGTAGATGAAGACCCTGAACCTTGTTGCGTTGAAGATGTAACAGTACCAAATTCACGCATAGAAAGGTTAACTCTAGGAGTAGTAATGACTGGAAGACAATTTCTAACTAGCAAATCACGTTTATTTACACGAGAAGAATCTGTATTTTGGACTCCACTGACCGATGGATTGGCGGCTAAAAAGGTGGTGGAAGGAGAACTACAGCCAATAAGATTGTGAGGAAAATAACTTGGTGCTGTAGGAATTGAAGTCTTTCCAGTAGGAGTTTGCAATGTGTCACAAACACTCAAATGATAACTTGTACAACACGAAGGATGATTCAGCTATTGATGATAAAAAACAAACAAACATATTCTACTAGAATGATAGTAAATAAGGTTTGCCAAAAAAATCATTCAAGATAAACATTTACTACATACAGTTGACATCTAGGATGATGAACAACGGATACGATAAATAGTAATCTATATCTTAAACGGTGATCTTTCCAGTATGTTATTTAGAGAACTGACTTGACAGAATAAATTTTTAGTAGTGAATAAGCATGATTAAATTTAATCATAGCAAAAAATATACGCTTAACACCATTCAAGTACAATAGTTAATTAAAAATTCATATTTATGAAAATAAAAACGGATTCACTCATTTTTTTTGTAAACGAGATCTGCGTAACTAAGATACGTTATACATAAAGTCTCGGTTGCAGTGAATATAAAAGTGGCAAACGATACATTTTTTAACACAAAATGGTGAATGTACATCATTTCAGAGCAATGGTATACAGCAGGAAATACACAAGAAATTTAAGCCTACAATATATTTATAGGATAGTTGAATATTAGGTTGAAATAGCTATCTACCTACTTTTATTTTTATGATAACACAAAATTTCTTTATAGATATTATTTTTTCGAGACATTTATCGCAGTAGGATGACCAATATATAAACATAAATGACAAGGTAATACATACCGATATAGTTAGGTTTGGTTGAGCACAGTAGACTGGCAGCTGAACTGTCGAATTTGTGGATGAGGTGACTGCGGGATTTTGTGGAGGAATACATGAAGAACTTGAACTTGTTTGCATGATGGTGGTAGATATTGTTTTTGAAAAAGGAGAAGCGGTAGAAAATGAAGGTTTTGAAACAGATGGCTTAGTATTGGTAGATTCTGTACCCAATGCTTGCATAACACGCACGCGAATGAGACTGTCCGACCCCATGGCCTGAGCTTCCAAATTTAGTAAAGCGACAAGTAGAGAAAGAAGGCTTGAATTCTGGTGGGGTATATGAAGTTCTAAAGAAGTGGGAGGATCCTCTTCGGGTGGTGATCCTTGTTGAAGCAGACGATCACATAAAGTAGGACCGAGACAGGTTAAACTGTGAATAGTATCTATTGCAAGAACTACTAAATGCAAATCTCGCAAACATAAAGTGCTTGCAATAGAAGAGAATGTAACAGGTGGCAATGAAGTCAGAAATGCTATGTTACGACCAGTCCTGGTTAAAGAAACCTTTTTAGTACCTACAGGTGGAATGTTGTCGTAGGTTACATCGAAAAGCGGCGTTGAGCATAAGTTTTTCACAATCTGTAAACCTAAAAAGAAAGTCAAAATTCTTTTATTGAGTTTCTTATGCCGGTGAGATAATTTTGAAAAATTGGAAGTGTCCCGGATTGCTAGACAGAAAAAAACCTACAATGGATGAATTACGATGATAAAAAGATGTCCAGTGACCATATATAAGCTTAAATGCAAGTAAAATATAACTTTATGAGAAGTGTAGTTTTTAGAATCACGTTGGAACACTCTTTAAAAAACAAATAATTCGATGAAGACGGAAAAGACCTATTGCAAACACAACCGGACAGCGGTACGTTCAGGTAAAAACAGATCAGGAGAACAAAATCAAAGATAAGGAGAGCGAAATTGTAAAAGTATACTTCGTTTATGTTATCGTTCGACTTCAAATCACAGTTTTGATCATACCGATTACATAAATACCGTAAGTTCAAAGTAATCGAAATTAGAAAACAAGTAAACTTTATTAATCCAAAAAAGGAAAACATTTTTACATTGAGGTAATAATAAACGCACCACACAAAACAAGATAAAAATAATATAAAAAAATGAAACGCGGGAAGCTGTGTGGTAATAACATGAATACATTTTGTTGCTTTTTCTACTCATCCGAGACAATGGTAACAAAAAGTCTGGTGTGAGTGAAACAATCTGTGAGGATGATGGGTTGCAAATCACTAACATCTAACGACGTCTTGGACGATAGGGAGTTTTTCGAGGAGCAGTTTAACCGATCTGCTGCCCCAACAACATCGATTAGACTGTCCTGCCCTTCAGGTCCTTTGACGAGTGATCCACATAACGAGGCGGAAGTCCGCAAGAAACTCCAACTCTTGCAGCGCTATAAATCACCAGGCCCAGGTGACTTACCTCCGGCCCATTTTAAAGATGATGGTAACTTTCTAGTTAAGGAACTGAGTTGTTTACAAAGGTTTAGCAATAAAAGTGTTCCAACATCATGGAATGAGTCGATAGTTGTTCCTATCTTTAAAAAGGATCCACGTCGTCTCTGTAACAACCCGACCGTTGTTGCTACCTTGACGTGGTGGTCGGGCTTGCCTATCGTGATGAAGCAACCGAGCTATACTGGCTGGAACAACCATTCCTTAAGGTCCTACCATGTCAGACAGGTCGGTTGAAGAGCGGTAAGACTAAAAGCAACAAACCCAAGGTCCGAAGGCGAAGTCGTACTGCTGACTGTACAGAGGTGTGACAGCAGTAAGGTGTTTCCTTCAGACAACCAGCATGACAGCGATGCTGCCTTCCCACAAGGAGGGGTGGGGTTAGAAAAGGTCGACCCTAAAAATGCACACCTCGCCTTATCCCACGGATATCCGTCTCCGGCGGTAAGGTCTCAATAAGTACGGAGCTAACACAAAAATTACCCATAACAAGGTCGTGTGTGACCGACCTCAAGCAGTTGTCCCTTGGGCACTGCGGTCACGCTCTCAGGTCACTAAGACCACCTTTAATCCAATTTCCTTTCCAGGTACCCCCAGAACAACCCTTCCACGGTGTGGGCAACCGGGAAGTGATAACCGCCCTCATACCTCTAACAGCACTCAAGACCACTGTATTCATAATCAACCTTCCTCTTCAATTCCTATTATTCCTCCTACATCGACTTTCAACTTTAAATTTCCTCTCTCGGCTTCCACCTCAAGTGTCACCATAGCCAACGATTCTAGTGCTCAAAACTCTGTCCCAGGTCTACTGAAACCTCGCTCCAAACTACACATTGGAGCTTTTAACGTACGCACTCTATGTCAAATCGGTCAACAGGCTTCCTTGGCTAGAACCCTAAAATCTCGTACCATTGATGTATGCTGTGTCTCTGAGACACGCATACAGGATTCCAGTGTGGTCATTCACTTGACCTCACCTCGGCAAAACGGAGAGCCAACGAGATGCACCCTTCGTGTATCTGGTGACCCGATAGCAAGTTCTCGTGGACTGGCAGGTGTAGGCATAGCACTAAGCATGAGGGCCGAACAAGCACTGCTAGAGTGGATCCCCGTCAACAGTCGTCTATGTGCTGTTCGGCTGAACGGCTACGTAAGAACTCGGAAGGATAGGAACACACGTCGTTGTCTTCTCGTCGTTTCTGCCTACGCTCCCACTGACTGCAGCTCAGATGAAGTGAAAGATGAATTTTACAGAAAGCAGTCCGAACTTCTTCAGAAAGCTAAACGCTCAGACATAGTACTCGTAGCAGGTGATTTTAATGCTCAGATAGGTAGCTTAAACCAAACAGAAAGGCATTTAGGTGGATATTTTAGTATTCCGACACAGCGAACAGATAATGGTGATCGTCTGCTGCAGCTATGCTCAGACAATCGTTTATTTTTAGCAAACACAAATTTTAAGCATAAGGAGAGACATCGTCTAACATGGCGACCCCCTACACCAAACCAACGATGGACTCAAATAGACCATATTGCCATCAGTCATCGTTGGAGAGGGTCGGTAGAAGATTGTCGCTCATTCTGGAGTACCTGCTTGGACTCCGACCATGCCCTAATACGGGCACGCATCTGCTTGCGCCTCACTGGACGCAAAAAAGCCACACTAACAAGACCGATTAGAATTGAATTGAGTAGCGAGAAAACCAAAAGTAGGTTCCAGGAACAACTGAGTTCACACTTAGGTAGTTTTGGAAACGTGGTTGACCCAGATGTTGCTTGGAAAGCTATACAAACAACTGTGGAAACAGTAGTGAAATCTATCAATGATTTAAACCACAGGGTTACAAAGAACCAATGGATTTCCTCATGGTCTATTGCACCGATGGATTCTCGCAAACTCATCCCATCAGGCTCTGAACACGATGAAGAGCGAAAACAAATCAGATCTAGGTTAAGCAGTAGTCTAAGGAACGACCGTGAGCAGTGGTGGGCAACGAAAGCAAAAGAGATGGAAAAGGCGGCGACTATAGGGAATACAAGACAGCTCTACAGACTAATAAAAGAAACTGGAATTAATAAGTCAAGTGTAAGTCAGACTATTTCGGAAAAAGACGACACCCTCATCTGCTCTCAGTCCAGATGTTTAGAACGATGGGCGGAACATTTTAGAGAACAGTTCAGCTGGCCTTCAGCTACTCTACAACTACCCTACATTCCCAGACAATGTGAATGGAACATTGAAGTAGGTCCCCCAACTCTTGCTGAAGTTCAAAAGGCTATAGTTAATCTGAAACGACGAAGGGCAGCTGGTCCAGATGGACTGGCTCCAGAGGTCTTTAAGGATGGTGGCCCAATTTTAGCGATTAGGTTGACTAATATTTTAGCTAAGATCTGGGAATTAGACTTTATCCCATCTGACTGGTCACAATCACTTATCGTCCCAATATATAAGAGAGGGTTAAAATTATCCTGTGACAACCATAGAGGGATTAGTTTAACTAATATAGTATCTAAAATACTAGCTTCGATGATTATCGGACGCCCAACTAAGACTCGTGAACTACAAACACGAGAGAATCAAGCTGGCTTCAGACCTGGTCGTGGCTGCATCGACCACATATTCACCATTCGTCAGGTTCTGGAACACAGGCATACTTATCGGCGTCCGACAATGGTGGTCTTTCTTGACTTCAAAGCAGCATTTGACTCCGTATACCACGAGATCCTGTGGCAGTGTCGGTCATTGAAAGGCGTACCTCAGAAGTACATAAACCTTGTGAAGGCTCTTTACTCGAACACTACTAGTCGAGTCAGAGCTTATGGCGAACTGTCATCTGCTTTTGCAACTTCAAGTAGTGTCCGTCAAGGCTGTTCACTTTCTCCATTGTTGTTTAACTTCATCATAGACCTATTGATGGAAATAACATTCTCGTCTACTGAATTCTCGGGTATTGATTTCCTTCCAGGAAATCCACTTGTCGACTTAGAATACGCAGATTATATAGTCCTGTTTGATGAGTACTCTGATAAAATGCAGAGTCTTTTGATATCACTAAGCAACAATGCCAGGATTTTTGGGATGAGTTTCTCCCCCTCTAAATGCAAGTTGTTGCTTCAGGACTGGACTGCGTCAACACCTGAACTAAGGATAGGGAGTGAATTAGTCGAACACGTTGACAACTTTATTCATCTTGGAAGTCCGATCAGCCCTAATGAGTTAGTGTCTGACGACATCTCAGCACGGATTCGAAAAGCTCCTTTGGCTTTTGCCAACTTACGTCACCTTTGGCGGAGGCGAGATATCCGTCTATCAACAAAAGGACGGGTATACTGTGCGACAGTCCGTTCTGTTTTAATTTACAGCAGCGAAACAGGGCCATTAAGAGTAGAAGATACTCGTAAGCTACTAGTATTTGACCACAGATGCCTTAGAAATATTGCTGGCGTCTGCTGCGATCACCGGGTAAGTAATAGTGAGGTTAGACGCAGGGTATTAGGGAATGATGGTAAATCAGTTGATGAGATTATGAATCTTCATCGACTGAGATGGTTGGGCCACGTATTACGTATGCCACGACGTGCAATGCTGACAGGTGTCCGAGATGGTTGAAAGCAAGTTAGGGGCGGCCAAACCAAAACGTGGCATCAGTGCCTGAAGTCACTAACTTCTAGTCTGAGCCATGTTGGTAGATGCAGACTACTTGGTTGGGGTCCGCGTGACTTTCGTAACCAATGGTTGGAGACTCTTGGTGACATGGCTCAGAATCGATCACAATGGCGTCGGTGTATACACTCTCTGTCTTCACTTAAACTAAGAGATTAAAATCGCTTCATATCTTTCTTTCTACGAACTAATTCTTTCTTCCTATACTATATCCTTATTGCAACCTTTGACCTAACCACTCCTATGAATCCGGTGTTCATCTTGCTGTGCTTATGAGGTATGGCAACATGGACCGATGCACATATGTGCCTGGTCCTACGTTGTAGCTGACTGACTGACTGTAACAACTGTCGGGGGTTTGGTCATGTTTACGAATGTCGTCCCAGAGAATGCCTCGTCGTGCATTATTTGCCAACGTTGGGACTGGTTGGAAGAAGTGGAGAGGTGGTCAGTGTATGACATAGTGTCGTGGTATGAAAAAAAAGCTGCAAAGGGCTGGCTTCTGTCGGTCCTTCACGGCTCCTTGGTTGTGGTCCAAGAGATGGTGTAACACAGTGGCTTAAGACGTTGTTAGATATGGCTCAGAATAGAAGCCAGTGGCGATCCCGCTGTAAGCCCATAAAAAATGGACGCAACTTCCTTAACTGGAATTATTTCTGGTTGTACCTTTGCTAACTGAACTACCTCTCTCATTGTAATTATTTCACTATCATACACTAAAGTCTGTTCGTTATTGTTTTTTTCTTATATGTACTTTCTCCATCTCTTGACATTCTCATTATTATTGTATAGCGTATAGGCATTTGGTGCCCCTTTGTACCAACATTTATGTGTTCAAATAAATAAATAATCCATTCAAAAATACTGAATGTAATTTACATTATTGGAGAACAAATTATTTTTGTATAGTTGGTGAGAATTTGTTCTTCAATGATCGATGGTTGACAGTTGGAAATAGTGAGATAGTTGTGCAAGCAACTGAGAAAGTTGTTAAGACTGAATGTGTTTTGACCTTATAAAAACCAAAGCCTGGTAAGTCAATCGGAACAACTCTTAGCGTAATTGCGACGTCTGAAAGTTAAACAAAGTTGGTAGTAGATTTTAAAGTTACAACCCATAAGCTGATTATTTTAGCGATGATAACATAATTGTCGATCTATCCTGTTAATCGAGAAATTAGAAGTAGGAAGTACTTCAAACCACGTGATGGTTAATAACACGCTATTAAACTATGAACAATGCTGCTACTTCATAAAATCTCGACATTAATAATAAATTCATTAGACTATTTCAATTACTTTTTGTGTCAATATTAGTTGAATCGATACTTAAGTGTTTGTCATGTTCCTCGATAACAGATGAATTTGATAATCAACTTACCACGGATGCGATCTATTCGATCAGGACAAACTAACAAAGTAGTGAGCAAACGATGGAGGGCAGGTATAAGTGAACCAAGAACTGGAAAATACAATGAAGATAGTATTTCTAAACCAAGTTGATGTAGACACGAGTGTTTGGAATATATACATAAAAAAATGAAACGCAAGGCTTGGGGATTTCGTCCGATAATGACAGCACTCAATCCATCATCTACAGCCAAGTTACGTAGTACTGTAGCGACTAGTTGTACACGAAAAGCTTCTTCATCACCATATGTCATCTCTTGGACAGCAGGAGGACAACAAAATTCATCATAAATAACCTCAGGAAGCTCTTCTGAAATAGTAAAAAAAATACAAAGTGCTGAGTGCAGTAAAGAATGTAGAATTAAAACGACACTATCAAGAAATAGGTAAAGACAAGTACTGGTACTTACACATAAAATTAACGCCACCCACCGGTTGACTATTAGTAATTTTCGTTAGCATATAATTCGAAATAACAAATTTAGTAAGACTGAAAATGTGATAGACACTGATTTGCATAAATGTAAGTTTTAAGCTACTTTATGCATTTCTACTATTTCGGTTATTTCATCATATGATAGTGAGGAACTACTAGTAAAATAATTTTAATGAACTGCAACAAGACACACGGAATGACCCAACTTTGTATACTTGTTCATGTATACATACATGTCTTGTATATGTTCTGTAAATAATTATTTTCAGAAGGGGTTTGTGGAGATTTTAGAAATTTCACAGATTGAAATCATGAGTCAATTGAAGACAGACCACTATGGAAAACCTGGAAGCACTAGACGGCGCGAGACTGATAGGTCCCGGGTTCCAATCTCGCGGGGCGCGGGGTCGTGGATGCGCACTACTGAGGAGTTTCATTCTAGGACGAAACGGCCGTTCAGTGCTTCCAGGTTTTCCATGTTGGTCTAGCTTTAATTGGCTCATGATTTCAATCTGTGAAATAATTATTTGTTGAAATGAGTCAGGATACAGAAAACCTGACAATTAGTGGTTCCGAAATGCTAATATTTGATTACTAAATGAGAAAAATTCGTAAAAATCTCACAGGTTTAGATCATGTATAAGTTGCAGTGGCAAAATATCTACTCTCACAAAAACCCAAAGACAATTACTGATGCCTCATATTTACCGAAGCTGTACATTAATAGATCAATTGAGTTATGCTGTGTTACGTCAAGCGTAGTGTCCAACAAACGTACCATATATGTGAAGCTTCTGGTGCTTTATAAATTTTGGTTATATGGCAGGATATTTTTTAAGCAGAAATGATGAGTAGTGTTTCTTAGTGATGTACATTTTTCAATAGTATTTAGCTTACACAGTACTGGATACCATGCTAACGACTTTTCAAGGAATGGTTTATATAAGCGTCCTTCTAATCGCGTACAATACTTAAACGTAATTATTCTACTTAGTGAAGGCTTTTTTTATACCTAGAATTGATTTTACTTTAAGAGAATGATTTCTACATATGTCTGGATTAACAACTGGGAGAAGAGAGATTGGTTGAATCGAATACTTCAATGACTTAAGGCGTTGAGTCAACAAAGGCGGATACAATTCATCATCAATTAAACTAAAGTGTGGCACGCAGGTATCCGAATGTCTGTTGAGGCAGGGGCAATTGATGCACAGATTTCCCAGCTATTTTCAAGCACTAACAATAAACATAGAATATATATCTTGTAGGACTTTTAATAGTATTCAAAAATTCGATGGTACGAAGCTCATTTACAGATCTTAGGGATAAATAATTGATGAAATAAGATAGAAGTAGCTCATATTTCGTTGTAAAGCAAGTCTATGTTGTTAGTACTTTTAAAATTAAAATTCTTCTTAGGATAATAGCCCCATATGAGAGCCAGCCACCAAAAGTTATCGACAGCAAATTTGAGAAAAGCAGACAGTTTAGTTTTACTTTACTATTTGAAGATGTGTAAATGACGTTAATATTAGGACAAAGTAAGTTGAGTGAGGGAAAACCGATTGAGATGATGCAGATTTACATATACTGAGACGATGATTATTTCGACAAGTTATGAAACGAAAGTGAGAATTTATGATACGCAGAATGAAACAGTATCGATGCACACAATTTTCAAAAAACACGCATATTGGTATCCTGAGAAATTATGAATCCAAAACAAGTCAAAATACGAGTGAAGCAAGGAAACTTTTGTGTTGTTGTAAGAGAAATCTAGTGATTGCAATATGTATATAGTTGTCAAGTGAAGAGAAAAAAAAGAGTTAACAGACTATTTTTATCTAATAGGTTACCTTAAACGCTTTAAGTTGTTACATTCTACATAACTACATGGAAAGTAAGGAAACAAAGGAGACATGCGACAAGGTAGGTAACCTAAGCGTTGAAGGACAAGTCCGTTTAGTCAAACTTGAACCATAATTATGTAAGGGGTAGTGATACTGTTCAATTATCTTAAGTCACTTGGTCTCCTCAGTAGTGGGGACCGATTACGGATAAATTAATAAGATAACCCATACATCAGGTACTTGAATATGAGTTATGTTGTGTGAAAGTTATTGATACCACTTGGTAACCCAAACAGGGGGGGGGTGATTTCTTCATTTCTATAAACTTTATTAAACACAATGATTGCCAATTATTACAAGCCAAAAATCCGTAATATCGAGTGTTTTAGTTCCCTAACCTGTTCGTATAACAGGTTTGTGAATTGATTGATTTAAACTAAGAAATTGATTTCTATTTTAATTAAATTAAATCTGCATCTCAGAATAGACTTAAAGAACGGTATGTAGGTAGCGCGAACTCATCCTAAAATTATGATTCGAAAAATTGAATGTCTTTCAGCTAATATAGAGGATTTTGTGTCATAACACTTTCGACACTGAAAAACGTTTATGCATTACCCAGAAAGCCTACACGATTAACAGCTGATTTCAGTTCACTATGTAGCGTAATAGAGTTAAAACAAAAAAATGATAGCTTCATCAAAGCGTCGAGTCATTTGGTGAAATCACTGACTGTTTTGAATGACATTCAGGCTATGCTATACAACATATGGTGTATGGTGCAGACAGTATAACCTGTAGGACCAAAGCGATCACATTAAAGTTACTTAGTAATAGCAAAGTTTATATTCAGCTTAGAATTAAATCAGAAGAGAGGATAAACTAAAAAGTCACTATCTAGAAGTAATCAATTGCTATGTTTAGTTAATTGACATCGCAACGTTGACTTGATATTGCTTGTAAATGCCTAAATAACAGTTGACTAAGCCGACAAGGCCAGGTAGGGAAGGCTTTAACAAGTTGTTAAAAAGTAAGACAAATAATCTAACGTGAACAATGGAGCGGTTGATGAAATAGCAAGCACCTGACTTTAAAAAGTAGATTAGCCGGTTTGAATCTGGTTTCACCAACTTCGGTTCAGACAGCTGTGTACTATCATTCGATTTGGCGAACCCAATGGTGTGGCTTACAGTCGAGCGTGTAAAAGAATACTTGTTAGTGAGGTTACAATATTGTCAAATACGAGATCATGCAATTAGCTTATATGAATAAAGTAGATGCTAGCAAGGTGCATAAACCAAGGTATGTACGAATGATCGTAAACTAATAAAAATAATCTTCCATAGCTAATTCAAACACGTTAAACGAATACTAGTATAACATGCAACACTTCATTGTTCCGAATGGATAAAATGTAAAGGATGGAACGAATCTGAATACAATTCTCCAAATACATCCATAATCGTATGCTAAATCACCCCAGTAACCGTACTTGGTCTTCGGAATCAGAAATCATGGAGCTTCATCAAAAGACTTGAATACTGAGTGATAAAATTGGAAAATAACAAAACACCGATACACGATGCAATCAGTCATATTGGTCTGGTTTCCAGATATCAATGGGTGATGTAAAAACGTTTTCATGGTTTACTAAATTTGTTCCTTTTAAGATAAAATGGATTAGTTACGTTTGGGTTTAATGTACATAAGACAGTAAATGATATCGAAGAATTGAATTAGGAATGTCATACATGACCATTTAGCATTATACTGTTAAGGGACCGACATTTGATTTCGTAACAAGACTACCATTATACCTTTATCCCAATCTAACGGAATATTCTAAATGCCGAGAATTGGAGAAAAGCATAAGATGATAAAACTAATTGGATTCTGTATGGACAAACAACAGCTTTTAGATGATAATAAACTAAATGATTTTAGAAACAATCTAAGACTTAAAAGGAGTAATACGCCAGAAAAGTATGGTACAGTGGTATTCTTGATAACTTACTTGAGTAGAAAGCGATGGGAGAAAGAAATACTCGTCCATTTTCTTTGTCAATATTTGATTCCCAAAACTAGAATTGATTAATAAAATATAGAGCACTTACATTGAGGTATCTGCTGTATTGGTACGTCGTGACATGTTCTGGAATAAAATATGGATCTATATAATGAGTTTAAGGATCGGAACTTACTTGGTCCGTAAATGCCAACAGTATATAACAGAACATCCAGAAGCCTAGGATTTTTACTAATACTGAAGTCATTTGGTTGAGAAGACATAAGAAGGATTGTGTTTAACGCAAGCTCAATTTCATTAGGAAGCCCTGATAATAATGATTTTTCTAATGAAATGTATTCGAAATCATCTTTTAAATCGATACTCAAATTCCAACTTTTTCGCAAGTGATTGGGTATTTCTTCAGTATTAGAACGAACAGAAGCCCCATAAATGTTTTGTCTAGACGATTTTAGGAACTGATCGAAATCCTTTAGAAAGTTTAACACCAGTAATGGTAAAAACGAACCTGAGCATCACCGTCAAATTGAGTAACAGCATCATCCTGTTCATCGGATGTGAAAATGCTTCTTGACGTCATTCGTTGGTTTCTTTCGAACAACTCGAGATACCTCTGGTAAATAGTGCGCAATCCATGGCCTGCATCGACACAACCTGGTGGCAGACCTAAGGCTAGATAAACTTCCAACCACAGGTGGGAAAAAGTAACCTGTAACAAGAACACTAGATGATTGTTTTCTGACTTACTTGTTTGTGACCACCCCGCAGGGCCACTTCGTTGTACAGCTTTTGTAAATCAATTAAGTGTCCAAAAAGATAGGGCGGTTGTAAAACAGCATTTTGTCTGGAAGATATATAAAACAAAAATGAACCTGTTACAAACCTGTTATGCCTTGAAAGCTTTTGAAGTTCTAGAATAAACTGCTCATATGGCTTCATGCATAATGGTAGGGAACTCATCAGGGAGTAAAATCGACTTTTGTTTTTTGACATTGTGTTCTATGCTTATTTGAAGGTTATTTAGGATTGAGCCTGAAGACGAGTCCACACCCCAACAGGAAAATACGTTCCACTCCTAACATTTTTTAAATATCGAAATGATAAATGGATTGTGTGCAGGTTTAGATTGACGGTTGAGGATTAGTGTGTACGCCTGTCTGCACACAATTACGCAATTCACCAGCCTTATTATATGAATTTGCTCGACTGGTTCAATAAATTTCCAGAGCAAGGGTGTGAGGTTTAGCACGGACAACGCATACTGGTCTCACCGAAGTGGAATGTGGTAAAGAAAAATAATATTTTCCTAAACACTATTTGATTACTCTGAACAAAAAAAACTATGCACACTGCCAAAAGCAAATATAAACAGTCAGCCCTGAAAGCCTTCATAAAGGATGATCGTAAGACAAACACATAGCGATACCTAATGCACGCGTGCTGTCTATCAAACATATTGAAAGGTCAGACAGGCACTAGGTCATTGATCAAAGTAGCGATTAAATGAAGAACAACTGGGATAGGAAAACGAAAATACAGTCAGCCAATCAAATCTCTCCCTAGTGCAAATAGGTTGAAAGCAAGGAGACGTATAGCTGATATAAGAAAAGACAGGGTTATATAGAACGAATCAACGTGTTGGATGTAATGTTTAAAACAACTAATTCTTTTCAGGTAAAGTTATAAGATCAAAATAAAAGTGAATTATGATTTCAAATAATCAAGCTAAAATTCGCTACCTATTGATTTTGAAAATTAGCCCGCCTACTACGATTTCCCTTACTTCGTGTCACAGCGCGATTTACAAACGTCCTAACGTTGTAGGCCGTGTATTGTATGACTAAATATCTTCTGTAAGTAAGCGATCATCATATTTGCTTATTCTTGGACTGCAATTCCATAATTAATTTAGAAAGGGTTATTGGTTCTTAAAAACTTCGCTCCTTATGTTGTGGTGGAATTTTAGAGATCTTACAAATTCATATTCTTTTACTTAAAGTGTCTACACATCATATGTTTATTAAAATGAATAACTAACTTCACTTAATCATTCTCCAAGTCTGGAATGATGCCTACTTTTTCCAATGTTATCATGACTCGACCAAATTGTCCTACAACATTTCCCTCAGTGTTGTACGAAACTGGCGAGACTATAATTTATTGACAGACAACATGACATTTGTCGGATTTTGGCATAAAGTTCACTCATTCGTTTGGCTAATTAGGGTTTTAGCATTATGGCTGATGTCATTTCGTGGTGAAAACCCCAAATCTAATTCTAACGTTGACCATCAACTGTAAAACATAATTCTAATTCCTCACACTGGTTTGTAACCCTTATTTGGTCCTAGTTACTAGGTGAACAATCTCAAGGTCAGTCTGGCGTTGCTCAAAGGTCGTCCATAAATATTAGTGTCACCGAAAACTTCAAGGATGGTCCTCTAAAATTATCGGAGAAGCTATTAAGTATATTTGGAAAAACCTTGAAGTTCAGATTAACTCTACCCGGATAATCTCGTTAGTTTTTTGTTTCAGTCTATTAGGTACGACAAATCCTTTCATCTCAACTACTTAGAAACCTGAATGATTACTATAGTTTCTGAAATATTCGTTTAAATGGTCATCTGGTGCAATAATGGAATCTATAGAAAGCAGACAGTAATAAAAGTCGAATGAATTTTACTCCTGGTTATAGGTGTGTTGATCATATCTTCAACCTTCGTCTGTTTTTGTGACACAGTCCGTCATCCTAAAATACAGAGGCTCATCGACTTAATGTGGTAAATCAATCGATTGGTTGGTTGTGCAGTTAGGTGTAAGGTACTAGGAAAAGTGGCACATTAGTTGGCTGAGTTTTATATCACTCATTCGCACTGCAATAGGGGCTAGTTTGTGTTGAAAGAAAGCTCTGTTTAGACCAATCAAGATTTAAACGGAAAGAGCAACAATACTTACAAAATACTATAAGTCCACTGTCCCTCATTTCTGTCTTCAGCTACATACAATTTATTAAGCTCATTCATTTACCATAGCATTAAATTTGAAAAGTAAACTGTCCTTCAGTGAGGAATAAGTTTTTCGCTTTGTAAAACAGTTTCAATTGCTCGGGGTGGTTCTGGAATATTCAAGATAATTCCACTGTACAATGTGACAAGAAAGTGGAGTATTTGGGAAGAAATTGGACATTGGTTAAGCTCAAACTGATTATAGTCAAGTCAAAATGTGTAGTTCACTTTTGTTACCAAGACAGTTGAAGATTATTTACTGACTCTTTAATGATCAGGTTTAAGCATTCGGATAACTGCAGCTTCCATCAGTTTTAATATAGTTGTGTTGGGTTGTTTGTTGACCACCTTAAATGCACTTCTTGCAGCAGCATGCTGTCAAACTATTGAGGCCGTTTTGCCTTTGGAGTTACCAGTTTTTGTAAATATACTCAATAAAACTAGTAGAAGCCCGTTCTTCTGTCATTACAGTGTACATCGGGCTGAGCTGTCCATTGTACTCCGTGCTTCCCGTCAGATGTCGAGCTTTTCATAATCCAGTCCACCACCAGAAGAAAGAGAAAGTAGGAGAGTAAGCAGCCTTATCCGACTCCGTTCCTTACATGAAATGCGTCTTTCAGCTGTCTGTCATGCACCGCTTTGGAGTGTAGTCTGTCGTATGAAGTCCGTATGATGTTGACGATCTCAGGTAGACTATAGTATCGAAGAAGGTTCCATAATGTTCTATGCACGCTCTCAAACACCTCACAGTCAAGGAAGTTGATGTATAGTGACAAGTTCCATTCAGTGTATTGTTCAACGACGATCTGTAGTGTTGTAATTTGCTTTATGCTCGACCGATCCTTACGGAATCAGACTTGTTGATTTCGAAGTTGGACGTCTACTAAACACTACGTGAAAACTTCCTGGTATCAACAATGGTGTGATTCCTTTGTAGTTCTCACACTTACTCGGATTGTTGCCTGGTATCTTTTCAGGTGTCCTTCTCTATAGTCTGTCGTGACTTGTTCTTCCTCCCAGATCTTCCTAAATAGAACGTGGAGCGTCTTTGCAGTTATTTCTTTCTGACTTCAGTGCTTCAGCTGATAGGTTTCCAGGTCCTGGTTTTTCCCCAATTTTGATTTGCCTGATGGTCGTGTTGATTTCTTCGATCGTTGGTGGAGTAGCAGCTATGGAAAGGACTCTGTGCTGCCTCGATTTCCTGTGAATTTAGTAGAACTAGCCTATTCAATAGTTCCTCAAAGTATTCAACCCACCTGTCCCGCTGTTCTTGGATCTCAGTGATTGGCTTATCTTCTCTGTTCTCGACTGGTTGCTCTTGTTTACAATAGTCCTCTTCTAGTTTCTTCATTGTGTCATACTCCCTTCTCTTGCAGCTTTTTCCGCTGTCATTGTTAGCTTATTTACCTACGCCTATTACTTCTCGCGAAGGAGCATAGGCCACTCACCAGCATTCTTCATCCAACCCTGTCCTGGGCAATCCTTTCCAGCTCCTTCCAGTCATTATTCATCCTTTTCATATCTGCTTCGATTTCCCGTCGTAATGTGTTCTGTGGTCTTCCTCTTTTCCGCTTCCCTTCAGGATTCCAAGTTAGGGCTTGCCTCGTGATGCAGTTTGATGATTTGCGTAATGTATGTCCTATCCATTTCCATCGTCTTTTCCTAATTTCTTCTTCAACTGTAAGCTGGTTTGTTCTCTCCCACAGAAGGCTATTGCTGATGGTATCCGGCCAATGGATGTTGAGGATCTTGCGTAGACAGCTATTTATAAATACTTGTACCTTCTTGATGATGGTTGTTGTAGTTCTCCAAGTTTCAGTTCCGTACAGTAGAACCGCCTAGACGTTGGTGTTGAAGATTCTGACTTTGATATTGGTTGAAAGTTGTTTTGAGTCCCATATGTTCTTCAATTGTAGGGATGCGGCCCTTGTTTTGCCAATCCTCACCTTTACGTCTGCATCTGAACCTCCTTGTTCATCGATTATGCTTTCCAGGTGTGTGAAGGATTCTACATCTTCCAGAGTTTTGTCATCAAGAGTGATTGGATTGCTGTTCTCCATGTTATATTTGAAGACCTTGGTTTTCCCCTTGGGTATGTTGAGGCCTATTGATGCAGAGACTGCTGCTACACTGGCTGTCTTTATCTTCATTTGTTCATGTGTATGCGATAGGATGGCTAGGTCATCTCAGTTAGTCAGTCAGTCAGTAACAACGTAGAGCTTCGTACGTACGTACATCAGTTCGAGTTGCCACACCACATTAGCACAGAAATGCAGTGATCGATTCAAATCCCGTAGTGCTGGATGTAGTAAAATTATAAGCTGCTATCAGAAAAATTAGGGTTTGAAGATGTTATTCAAGGAGTATAATCCAGTGAAATAAATTTGTGAAGAGAAAAAAAAGAGACAAGGAGGAATAAGGAGATCAAAATTTGGGAGAACACAAAGAGTGGATGCACCTGCGCCATTGCAAAGGATTTTGAGCCATGTCATTCAGGGTCTCTAACCATCGGTTGTTATCATCTCGCGGTCCACAACACGGTAGTCTACACCTACCAACATGACTCAGTTCACTTGCCAGTGACTTCATGGACTTGTGCCATGTTTTGGTTTGGCCGCCCCTAGCTTTCTTCCAACCTACTCCTATACCACTGAACATAGCACGTCGAGGCAGTCGGTCGTTGGGCATACGTAACACGTGTCCCAGCCATCTCAACTGATGAAGTTTCACTACTTCATCAATTGATTTGCCATCCTTACCTAGTACCCGTTTCCTAACAACTGTGTTACTTACTCGATGGTCCCATGATATACGAGCAATGTTTCGAAGACACCTATGATCAAATACTAGTAACCTACGGATATCCTCTACTCTTACCGGCCATGTTTCACTGCCATAAAGTAGGACGGAACGAACTGCTGCGCAGTAAACACGTCCTTTGGTTGATAGACGGATATCTCGCCTACGCCATAAATGACGCAAGTTGGCAAAAGCTAGTCGAGCCTTCTGTATCCGTGCTGAGATTTCGTCACACAATAAACCACAAAGGCTGATGAGACTTCCAAGATAAGTGAAGCGGTCGACACACTCAACTACTTCACTCCCTATCACTAGTTCGGGTGTCAATGTAACCCAATCCTGAAGGAACATTTTGCATTTCGAGGGAGAGAATTGCATGCCGAACATGCTTGCATTGTTGCTTAGAGTAGTCAGAAGACTCTGTATTTTGTCAGCGTCTTTATCAAATAGAACTGTCATCAGCATATTCTAAGTCAACAAGTGAACCTCCTGGTAGAAGTTCAACTCCTGTAAATCTAGACGAGGAAAGTGTAGTCTCTAAAAGTACGTCGACGACAAAGTTGAACGAGAATGGAGAGAGTGGGCAGCACTGACGAACACCACTTGAGGTAATCAATTCTGATGACAGTTCGCCATAAGCTTTCACTCTACCAGTTGTGTTCGAGTAGAAAGCCTCTATAATGTTAATGTATTCTTTGGTACGCCTTTCAGTGACAAACACTGCCATAGAACCTCACGATCAACAGAGTCAAATGCCGCCTCAAGGTTGAGAAATACCGCTGTTGTAGGACTTCTGAATGTGTGTTTGTGTTCTAGAACCTGACCTAGTGTGAATACCTGGTCTATGCAGCCACGTTCAGGTCGTAAACCAGCCTGATTTTCTCTAGTCTGTTCTTCATGAGCTTTAGTTAGGCTCCGAAGTATTATTGAAGCTAATATTTTAGAAACTATATTTGTCAAACTGATTCCTCTGTGATTGTCACAAGAGGACTTTTGTCCTTCCTTATAGACTGGCACAATCAGTTATTGAGACCAGTCAGATGGGATTACGTCCAGTTCCCAAATTCTACCTAAGACCTCAGTTAATCTCACTGCTAATACTGGACCACCATCCTTAAAAATCTCAGGGGTGAATCGGTCAGGCCCTGCTGCTCTCCTTCGCTTCAGATTTCCTGTTTTTTTCAACTTCGTAAAGAGACGGAGGACCTACACTAATTTGCCATTCAGGTTGACTGGAGATCGTGGGAAACCGAGGTGTGGCTGAAGGCCAGTTGAACTGATCCCTAAAGTGTTCTGCCGATCGATCCAGTCTCCTGGATTGAGAATGAATAACATATCCATCTTTTTCCGAGATAGTTTCGCTAACAGTTAGATCCATAATACCGGTTTCCACGACAAGTCTGAACAGTTGTCTGATGCCACCTATTGCAGCTGCCTTTTCCATCTCTTTTGCTTTCGCTACCCACCACTGTTCACGATCGTTGCGTGGGTTTATTATCAGCCTGCACTTAAGCTGACTCCGCTCTTCGTCATGTTCAGAGCCAGATGAGATGGGTTTTCGGGCATCTATCAGTGCGGCAGATGCTACTGAGATCCAGTGTTTCCCACTAACATTATGGTTTACCTTATTAGCGGATATCACTGCTGTTTCCACAGCTTTTCGAATATCGTTCCACGCTGCCTGAGGGTGGGCATCATTTACATGGCTGTCCAACTGTTTTTCTTGTTGTTCGTGAAATGTATTCTTAGCCTGGCTATCATTAAGTAGGACCCTAAGAGGTTTCCTTGCAGCGTCTTTCCTACGTCCAGTAAGACGCAGACAGATACGCGCTCGCACTAGAGCATGATTTGAATCTAAGCATGTGCTCCAGAATGAGTGATAGCCTTCTATCGAGCCCCTCCATCGGTGGTTGATAGCGATGTGATCTATTTGAGTCCAAAGTTGGCACGAATTCGGGGGTCGCTATTATCTTCAGTGAGTTACTATCCCACTACAGACCTGGTGACGGGTTCTCACTAGAACTCCAGGGGTTTTTCCTGAAGTCAGTCACTAGTGGGCGGTTGATTATTATCAGAATTTGTTTTGTACTCGCGCGCGAAGCCAGTAGATCCTGGGTTCGAACCCCGCGTGATGCGGGATCGTGGATGCGCACTGCTGAGGAGTCCCGTACTAGGACGAAACGGCCGTCCAGTGCTTCCAGGTTTTCCATGGTGGTCTAGCTTCAATCGACTCATGATTTCAATCTTCGTATCTACCTCTATTTCTTTCGACTTGTTCTAATTTTCGTCGTTATTGCGAAGTGTGGCAAATTAATCCGATCTGATTTCTCACAGGGCTTTACAATTGTGTGTTTGTATTGTTAAAATAGCAAGATGAAAAGTAGATGTGTTACGTCTGGTCGTGATTTTATTGACCATATTATTGCTTTTTAGTAGTTCTTGGAATTAAAGCATAGTGGCTGCATATTTAGTTACATTTCTGAAGTTATTTGTGACGTTGGACGTCGAACTTAAGGTTTTGTCTGTCTCACTAAAATAGAACTGAATAAGGGCTTCACATTATTGAAATGTTTACTTCCAAGCAATGAACGTAGAATGAGCAGCTTCTCCCCACGATATACTTCTGGTCACTTGTTGCAGATGTACTAATAAAAGTAATTTACGCTTAAACTCTTCGATCGACTTGGTAGTCAAATGTAATAGTCTTCGTAGGTGAAAACTGTTAAATATAAATACACAGCCTTTTTAGTTACGTGCCAAGTATTCCGCAAATATGAGTAGCTTATTCTTAATGTTCTTGTTCTCGCCTTTCAGACTTTTCACATCTAGAGCTGTTTCTTTTAAAGATCGTCGCTTATTCCTTACTATACCATAAGTTTTTGAATGGAAACTTCAGAAAACACTACTACAACACCGTCAAGTATCCCCGGTAAGTGTTTCTTGTTTAATTTCTGCAGTTTAATTGATGTACTACTTGGCTGAAGTTGCCGAATAGCCATTATCTTTCTTTGGTCAGTAATAATCAGCACAGAACCTGGCATAAATGTACATTAGGTCCATATTGTTATATCTAATACTGACGCAGATGCACTTGCTCTATCTTCCAGATCTTGAGTTCAAGTATTCCTTCATACTTACCTTTCCACCCTGTATTTTAAAACCATATTCTCAATACTTAGTTTTTTCTCATTGTCATTTTTAATACATAATTTCGACTCTTTTGCTATTTATCCCGTTAATATTCTTGTTGGTAGACTGTTATATCATTAGCTTATAAGATTATTGCGAAATACGATCGCTAAAGATGCTGACTTATACAACCAAACGAATGACGCATACACCAGTACGAACAACTTAGAGTTCCGATTGGTACTTTTCCCGCCCTAAATCCAGAACGCCATTCTCAGCCTCCACCATACGAATCATGTATTTCAAACGTACTTGGTTTATATGTTAGCAAAACCAGATCACATCACACCATAAAACGTAAAATAACATTTGTACGAGATCAAGTCAAAAGTGGTTGTAATTGTGAGGGATTGTTACTAACAAATTAGGAATATCTCAAGAACGGAAAATCGTATGATAATAGTTAGTTGGTCAAATGAAAGGAATATGAATATACATATAACATAGTTATTTGACAGCCAGACAATAAGATTTTACGTATAATATTAGTCCGTAAATAATTCCTAACGGTTATCACTCATTTATTCTCGTCCCGATATAACATAGACAATGTCAGGGATGGAACTGTAGATGTTTTATGGGATATGATCGCAGTAAACATATAGCATTTGTTTATATCCTCTCTCTTCTATCCAATCTTTAGAAGCTAACTGGTTGTTTGGTCCATAAAGTTTTAACAACTTCAGTTTTTCCTTCTATTGTAGTTTTATTTCACAGGAATGTTTCTAAAACTAGATTTCAAATAGTTTTATTGCCTTTCGATACTTTGAAGTTGGTGACTCAGGCTTATATAGCTTCTAGTTTTTATGACTTCATCTTTGGGAGTACTTAGTCGATTTCTAAATAACTTGGAGTTGTTCTGCAAAAAGGATTGTATACTTGGGCTACTAGTGGCTCTTAGTTACTATTTTGAATCATCATTTGTAAAAGCTTTGGTTAACGTGTTATTGAGATTTTTCCTGACGTTTATATTTTCTATTTAAGCAAAAGTAGTGAGTTAAAAAAGAGTTTGTATATTTTAATATTATGTTCGGATATAACTGAGGCGAAAGCCAGGTTACTTAGATACTAAAGTTGCGTTGCGTAATCGCAACGTTAAAGATGGATTGATTATAAGTTAAGCTCAGAAGAGACTCAAGAAGGAACGAAGAAAATAAATTTATGATTATTAACACAAAGTACATAACCGAGTGTTGAAAATTTAGATCACTAGGGCAGTGCAAAACTGACAACAGTTTCTTTTTAAATGCATGAATAATGTTTAAGCCTTTTAATATTGGTAGCTTCTGCAAAATGCAATATTTCGTTGAATTATTGATGATTTTGAGTAGTTTTGAAATATCATTGCATCCACTACCAAATAGAGCCGACTGGCGAATGCGTTGTTGAAAGCATGCAGTGTCTGAGGAGAGTGCTCAGAGATGCGGACGGTAACATTTTTTTATGTCCTTCCAATGTGTTTCTGCACATGCATATGAACTGGTGAACACAGTTGGAGGTGATACTGTTATGGTTATGTAACTTCCAATATCTATTTCTCAGTGACTTATCTCCATGCATTTTAAAGAATTTTCTTCTAGGATATTCAAATTTTTTGGCGCATAAATATCCAATAAAATGAATATCTCTTGTAGTTCTTATTATCAGAAAAGTTTACACAAAAGGATAGTGACTAGTTATTATTTAATTGGCAATAGTGATTAGTCATTTATGTACTCTTGACAAATGGTTTGAAGGATAGACAACTGGACTAACCTGTGGATAAACATCAGCTACTCACTACACAGGTGCAGCCTGATTTGTAAAATAATATCACTTCCTTTAACTTAGGTTAAGAATATAACATTGAAAAAGCCACAAATTCTAAAAGTTCACCATCAGCTGTTGTTTTGGGTGATAGCTATCAACCATGTTAGAATAACGAAGGAGTTGGTCTATTCAAGTCAGAATCGATTTTCACAGATACGCCTAATTTATAACTATTCCCACGTCATGAAATAGCTTAAAGATCATCTGTGGATAACCATAGAGAGACAAATGTCTCCAGAATTTTTAGTCAGTGGTCGTTCAACTCATACTCAATCAAAACAGACCTTTTAGGCGCATTCATATTCATTTTGGGGATTTTAACCTTTCATATCATCTTTATCTAAACCTGTAGACGTTTTTGCTATATATTACCCCGTTAATTTTGTCTGAATTCACGTAGCAAATAAGAATTCATATTTTAGATTATTGTTTTACAACGAATCACTTTATTTGACCGCGAAAACCACTGTATTCTGTAGTTTGTAATACTAACACAATATACAAGTCACATTTCCATAATAATTGTGACGTTGACAAAATGAATACGTAGGTAGATTTTTGTATATATATACTTTTTAGTCAGTGCTTTTTATCCATCGATGTTACTTTTTGGAAATTATGTGATTACTAGCAGCATTGATATTCTTTTTTGTATCATTTAGTGCTATCACTTGTTAAGTCAGCTCAACAACAACATGGTTTACGTCATGGTGATTATCAACGCTATCATCAGTATATTTCTCGAAAACTCAGGAGAATGAGGAAATCACTACATTTTCAGCAAGTAAGTAATATGATATACTTTGATACGTTGTCTCTCTCCTCTAGGGGAATCGATCAAAGGTTGTCCCTAAAAAGTTAACTCCAGACATTGTGACAAATCCACGTTTCATTATTTTAGCAATCTTTGAAATTGAACGATCATGGGCATATGCTATGCAATTGAAAGCTGAGTCAAGCACTGAAATTCGCAAGCGTTTCCAGATGTGTTCTCGACTTCGTAAAGCTGTTGCACGTGCCGAACTTTTGTGTAGTATGGAGGATGATTTGTCCTTATTAGATGCACAAACTAAACTGGAATTGCGAGCATACAAACAGTGGATTCGTGGGATTCTATTCTTCGAACTACAGGTAGTTATCACCCAACTTTACTTTTGTTTTATTGAAACCTCTATATTTCCGTAGATTAGATTTGTTTCGTTTTATTGCTTGCTTATATTTTGGTTAAGGAGGATTCTTTAAAATAATTCGATTTAGTTTATCAAAACAATGTGATATATTGGTGGAATATATTTCCAACATTTTAATAACATATTAACTTGTTATGGTATTCATGAGGAATAAAAGTTCAGTTTCAGGGAATGGGAATATGAAACAAGGGTAATAAAGACAGAACATTAGCTTAACCACTGTAGATGTTACATTAAAGCCAATATCCCTAGGACTTCGTCTTTTCGTTAAACTCTCTAAACTTGTCATTTTTTCACACCGATGACCTCTTTTCTTAACATAGAACTTCGTGAATATTTTGTGTCCGTGATGTTTTTTAACGGGTTTTAGTCTGTATTATTCAGTCTACATCTACTACTATGGTTAGTGAATTAATTTGGTTTATTTAAAGTACGAATTTTCCCACTGTCAAATTTGAATCTGTTACTCAGTTATGGGCAAATCACTTTCATTAACAACGAAGTCACCCCTATTAAATCTTAAAATAGGTTTGTTCAGTGATGTTTATGAAGCTTATTTTCTAATTATTTTATTTTCTTTAGTGTAAGATTTTGTGGTGATTGTTGAGTGTTATAAAGATCACAAATCAACCTAAGTTGGACAGCTGTTGAACACCAGGAAGCATTGAACCGTCGTTTCGTTCTGGTATGGGACTTTTCAGCAGTGCGCATCCATAACTCTACCAGAGACTGTACTCAGGACTTTGAGATCTTGGGGTGAAATTCTGAATATTACTGCTAAGGAGCCCTTTACTGGCTCGGTATCTAACTCCAATTAGATCGTATGAATGATTGCTGTCGAAATATATATGTCGCCAATCCTCGTATATAATTGATTTGAATCGCGTTAGTGAATGACGGAATTAAATAATTCAAATACGATAATGGATTTTCGAATAAATATATCTTGTGCACTCAGTGATCTGGACAGACAATCAGAGGGACGAAGCGAAAGAATCGAAGAAAAGAGAGCAAAGGGAAATGACACGCAATGGAGAAGGCATATGAGCCAACTTGGTTTAATCAAGCGTTAATCGATTGTTATAGTCACACACAAATAAGTTACCGACATATGATGAATAGGATATGAAGTGCACAAGGTCAAAAATATGACTCAAGAAGAATGAATAAATCGGCTTGTCCGGAAGCTAGAATAAGCTATATGGGCTTAACACAGCAACTGATACTACATCCCCATACTAGGACGAAATAGCTGTCCAACGCATCTTGACTTTCAAAAGTTGTCTGATTCATATTGGTTCGGGGTTTCAATATTTGATTTTAATTTAACGATAGCTTACTATTCCATACTTATCTAGAATTGGGCCGTGGCCAAGGAACATTTAGAATCAGCTCAAGCTATCTATGATGTTTTACTTCAAATGGTAGATGAAGATAACCAAGCTGTTTATAAGTCCCGGATTGATGATCTTTTACCTCAAATTCGATACTGTGCACATTCGATTGGGGATGAAACAGCAGCTACAGATTTACAACGCATGCGCAATCAAGCACCTGATGGTTTAACTCTTTTATCGGAACTTCAGTTAGATCAACTTCTTGGTCAAGCTCGATCCAGGCAAGCTAGTCAAGTTAGTGAAGTTGATTGGTTGGGGACTTCGATTCCAGTAAAGTCAGAAAAGGCGAAAATTGCTATTTTAACAGTGGAGGTAGGTTAAACAGATGCATTTAGATAAAGAAAACTCAAGTCATTTTTTGTATACCTGTAAAGCTGTTTGGTATTTTTCTTTCTAGGAATCTAAGTCAGAATTGGAAAAAGCAGAAACTCTTCAGGCTAGATTGTCTATCTATGAATCTATATTGAAATTGTGTGTTGAAGCAATAACATCTGTTAGAGATGAGCTACGTACTGCAATAGCGTCTGAGCCATCTGTTACTGGAGATAAAAATACAGCTGCTGTAGTGGCTTCTTCCAAATATGGTCAAACCTTAGGTTCTGAAAAGGTATGTTGTATTATAATTCTTCAAACGGTTTTTCATTACTAACTTTATAATGTTATTTTGTTTAACTGATACTGTGATTGTAGTCGATTTTCTGTACGAATGTTTAGTGACATCTTAATAACTTTTATTGAGGTATTTTAAGACTGAACTTTTTAAAGGTTTACTTTCTTCTTAAAAGTCATATGGGTTTTTGAATTTCAGGTTTCACGACTCCAGCTTTTGTATACTTATTTACAATACTTGAAATTATCTAAGACGATTGATCGAACACTTCTACATATTGAAACTACTATTTCTAGCCTAGCAGAAGGAAGTCACAAACGAAACCAACTTGCTACTAGTGCTTATCCTAAACCACAAGAACTGTCTCGTCTGTATGATACGTTAGTACAAAATTTTCAAGAGATTATCTCTCTACCATGTCTGGTGCAAGATCATGTTGGTTTGAAGGATCTATTGTATGCAAAAATGCTGTCTTATCGTAGTTATCGGTGAGTTGGTTTTTAGTTTTTTGGCCACTGATGTGATATCTAAATATTTTCCTCGTTGGATTGCTCTCCAGGTTCCACAAAAAATATGGAGCTTTGTAGCTAGCACAGTAGTCCGGGCTGTTACAATGTACAGATAACATTTTGAAGATGATTGTCAAGACAAAGCGAAGATTCTAGGAAAAAGTATCGGTAGCTGGACAAGCGAAAAATATCCATATTATTAATGGAATAAAAAAATACATAATCTTGCTTAAAGCTGTAGTAGTTTGGTCAAAAACTAGAAATGTCCAGATCAAGACACATTAGAAATAAACTTATTGACTTTTAAACCCTTGAGGATTTAAAGGCACTGAATAAAATGCCTCAATATCGACTACAATTGTCCATGCAACTACTCTGTATTTGGTTTATTTTGTCATTGTCGATATCTATATAATGTTATTCACTTTAGTATCATTCACCTTTCATTTCTTCCGTTTTTCAGTAATTTTGAACTGTTTTTAATTCAGTTTGAAGTTCTTATTATTCATCACTGTGAAATCCACACTCGGCAATGTTTAGATTTCCATTATTCAACGTAGTGTGTAACCATCCACTGGGTTGTTTTATGAAACCTTCCTTGTGTTGTGGTTATCTGCAAGTGTTTTTTACTTCCTTCTCATAGTTTGTCTGGGATTGCTTACTATGATAGCTGTTGTCCAGTCATATGTAGTGTATTTCCTACCCGTACCGAGTAATATAGTTTCACACACCATATTTACTATTTCTTCGTGTTCAGTCGGTATTGACGAATGTGTATGTTCTTTCCATTTGGTATTTCAGCTGCCTTGATAGCTTAAGGTGGATGAAAGTTGATAGTTTTTATGTTATCCATTTCTACCAATTCTCATCTCTTTTTTACAGAGCGTTTCGTTTGGGATTTATCTAAGAACCTGACAAAAACTGTGTAGTTGTTGACTTAAAAATGAGGTTACATTTAGGATTTAATTTGTCCATTATAATCCCACACTAAATTTCACCAACAGTAGAAAGTATCGTGTGCAGTGTATGCATTATCAATAACAAATTTTTTCAAATTGCTTGATTTCTAGTGCTTGGTGTATTTATAATCACTGACCACTAACAGTTTTGATTATAATGCATTTTTCGAACAAGTTTATTATTCATATCTCCAGTGATTTTGATGCAACTATATTTGTATAAATGTGTATATATGTGAAGGTTAATATTTTATTCCTACTTTTTATCATAGGTGCTATTATTTGGCCCTTGCCTACAACTGTAGTAAAAAATACGTTGAATGCTCTGCCCTTCTTACGAGGGCTATTCAACATGCCGAAAAAGCAATCACTTCTCTTAAACATTCCACTTCAACCTGGACTAAAGCTGAGGAATGTATCGCACCTGGTCCGGGTCCTGATGCCTTATCGAAATCTCTTCAGTCGCTTATATTACAAGCTGAGTCAGAGGATTTCACTTGCAAAGCAGCCTCAATGCTTGACAAAGTAGAAGAAAACGGACCAGTATCCATCACTCCCCTTGTTGGTACTACAGAAGTGGATCCCTCACGAAAAGTGGGTATTTTGCTATTTAGCCTCATTTGATTTAAAAATTCAACTCACAGCATGCATCGATGTTGTATTGTGTTACACTAAAAATCCTGCCATCCCACAAGTTTCTTGTAATCCGTTAAGTTTATTATGTTTCTATTTGCATAATGAGAGTGTTCATAACCAAATCCTTGTCTCGTAACTAGTTTATTTAAAAACTCGAAATATTAACCAAATTCCCTCTGTATTATTCCTGTTTGTTTACGTATCTGCAACATTTATTGTGACGTTACCTGTTATGACAAAATCCATTATGTTTTCAACCATTTCATACGTTAATCAGTTCTTGAAAAACGTGTTAAGAAGACCTTTTTTTATACTTTGGTTTTCACTTGGTTATAAGATAAGAAATAGGTAGAATTTGTATCGTTGTTTTATGGATTCTTGATAATCGATGTTATAATTTCACTTTCTCCTTTTCTATTTTTCTTTAGGTTCTGACTGACCGCCTGGATATCTACGTTGACGAAAAATCTGTCGAGAAATCATTCAATAACTTTATTTATCCCTTTGTTCATCTACCTCCCAAGTTTCGTCCTGTCCCTGTGAAACCAATTTTCTTTGACCTTGCCTTAAATCATATTAATTTTCCATCTTTGGACGACAAAATAGGTCTGAAGGCTAGTACACCTTCCAAGTCTTCTGGTCTTACAGGCCTTATGCGTGGATGGCTATGGCGAGGTTCAGAGCCAACAGAATCCTAAATCTGATGTTGCGATACTACTTTGTCTATATGTTTGATCGTTCTTTCGGTTTTCATACAGATATTGGTATTGTATTTTAATTCCTGTGTACCGCAGGCTGAGTCGTATTTCTCTGGTATATTCTTCTCTTATACTATAAAGTGGATTAGTGCTCAAATATAATATTACTTTGATTATAATATCCTCCATTTTTTACGAGACTTGTGTCTTTAGGTGGCCGCTCATTTCTCTTCAATATGTGACTTTCGGTGTGGTTTTGTGACTTTTGTGTGCGGAAATAAATACTCAACAGCTATTTATACATGAAGATATTGCATATTTGAAGACTTATTGACAGTAAGCAGATAAAAGTGATGCTACCAACTTGTTGCTTGCTATAAAATGATGACTAGTCTTGCTTTCGTCAGCCGTCAATTGTGGCGTTCAGTGTGGTGGGACTGCCTTAGTGTTATCAGTGGTAGGTCTACTGAGCTAGTATTTCGGTGGACTATTCAGAAGAGATCGGTCGTCTTGTTTTCAGCTTTCAAATGTCAGTTGTAAGTTTGACTCAGCTTCAACTTGTTTAACGCTGTTATTGATAAATTGGTGTAGAAGTGATTATAGGTTACTGTTTTAGTGAGGTAAAAGTAGGTTGTGAGGATAAAAACAAAATGGTGTTATATAATGTTTTGAATTATTTGAATTATAGCACGAACTAAGAGTCTCAGAAATAACGCAATTCAATTAAGAAGTGAGACACAAGCACAAACGAATGTATTGTATTTGGAATTCAAAATCGAGCATTCAACAAGTACAAAGGTATTATTAGTTCGTTCAAACACTACATGTTATTATCATAAGTAACTTTTTTACTATCCATTGATACTGAGGTTAACATGAAATTTTTCTAACACAAACAAGTAGATTTTGTCGATATAGTCTTGTCAGTTGACGAGGCATTTCAACTTGAAAAGATGATACAACTAACTTCTCATAACTGAATACTATGGGAAAGAGTTTGGCTTCAAAGGATTACGATTCTCTGAGAGAAAATGCATTGTACACCTTTAATTTTGAGCTTTATGAGTCCGTTGCCGTCTTTGAGACCTAGGTATTGTACATGAACTTCCCATGTCGTCTTCGGATCTTTGATTTCTCATCAATGAAAGCTTCATCACAAATGCTGATGAACAAACACTTCCAAAGATCTCTGGACAAACATTTTCGATAGCAAAGAGTACTGTATAGTATTCGATTTATTTGACCTTCATGGGAAGCGTTTGATCTAAGCTGGATAGTAGTTCCAAGTGATTGGTAGGGAGTTGTGCTCACTCACGGTCTGGTGCAGGTACATGACTGAGCGCCTTCATTTAGGTTGTGTCCGGGAAAACAAGTAAGGTTAGCATTTGTGTTGAAGACTTACAGGACTGTTTGTTCTGGAATTTATTTACCACTAGAGGGGTAGTAATGACATTAAGACGAGGACAGTCAGAAGAACTTGTCGTTGGTAGACACTAATGGCCATCTTTCCCTAATGTGAGGGGCCATGTGGTACAATATAACGGTAATGTGCGATGGAAATTCCAATCCACTATCCGTCGTTTTTCAATCTATTCCAGTCATCCTTGAAAGAATATCAAAGTGTAAGTACATGCTGGGATACTCTGGTAGTTGTATAAGGACGCAGAAACTGCGAAGAAAATCTGGTATATGCGCATGCATGTCAAAAATATAGTAGTCGTTTTATTGTTCTTGAAACCCTAATTTCTTCAAGAGCACGTTATCTATCGGTTTTCGTAAATCTTAGTGATACTTGATTACTCGGTGCGGTATCACTATTGCGAGGCTCCTCTCGTTCGAGTGTATCGAAGAAAAGTCAACATTACTAGTGTCTTCTAAATACGCGGCTTTAAGACGGTCGATATTGGCGTTTTGTTAGTTCCGTTATTATCGATGATATAATCCTTAGATTTGCGACGAAGTACTCTGAAGAGTCCTTTTTATGCATTTTCGAAAAGACGTTATGAATCGCGATGTACGAAAACGTGCGCATCACGTCGTAAGACAGGTTGGACGGAAACATCATTTGGTTGCGACCGAGTGGAAATAGGTCTAACTGAACGCATCGCGTTTGTTAGACTGCTGGTGTAAGTTTTTAGGTCCATGTTTAATGAAGGTGAAGGACCAACATATCCTCCTGGAATTCAGACTGTCGCTCAATAAACAATTTGTGTTGCAGTGTATTTAGCGTCAGTTTTCACTGCATCGAGAATACCTAGTAAAACGAATGAAAGGACGTCAGTCCGCTGTGAAACATTTTCAGCCGAGAGTGAAGCTTCCAACTGTCGGGGAAATCGAAATTGTGTGATTCCTAGTAGTGTATTAAAATAAGTGAGGAGTTCAGATTGGGACTGACATTCACAAACTGTCGTAATACCTGAAGTTTGCTAACTGTCGTTCAACGAAAACGAGGGATACTGTTTCAGCAGTAATATCCTTGATGGGTAATGCTTCTGATATCGTGTGAAAAGATCTACACATTGTAAGATATAAGTTTACTGAATGAAAATGAACGTAGCCGAAACAACCGTCTTGAGTAGCAAACAAACCCACGGGACATTTGTTATGTATTATTGCCATATGTTTCTGGTACTTTACACAGCGAAGTGTTATTTTATGAATTTTTATCTATTTCAGGCCGACAAAACCGTTCTGTAATGAGATTATTGGCTTATCTAACATTGAGAGATGCCCATGGGCTTTTTGGTGGCTAGATAATTCTTAGTTCCTTTGTGCGCTTAATTCAGTTTTGGTGAAGCTTCGTTTTGCAGGAGCTAGTCATGGAGCTTCTGTAAATACAGGTGATCCTGTTGTCTTTACGAGTTGTGCGACGTTTATGGTTACAAATCGAAATTTCGGTTGCGTTTCGTGAATTATGTGGCGCCTGTTTAGTTTCCGTTAGAAGTGTGGATTGATTATATGCTTAAATGTGACTGTGCATAACACACGACCAGAAAACAGACAATTTAGTATTCTCATGAACTAACGTTCATTTGCTTTGGTCGATCAGTAGACTTTGGTGTTATTGCAGGTCTATAACATAGACTGGCGTAGAAACAACGGCAACAATAAAAATCAGTGAATGGGTTTGCGTAAAGCCACGTTAAGACAAACTTTTTGCTTACCGTATATAGATTTCGGTTTTCTATTTGACACCAGTAAATTGAAGACCTATTCATGCAGACAGTCGTTAGTATTTGCGGGAAAAACACGAACTTCTTTATCACATGACTGAAGTACAACATACAGTTATGTTCGTAGGTTACGGCTGCCGATAACGAGTGCCGGCGACAAAGTTTCCCGTACGGATTTTGTTTAGAAAATTATAAACTGGAGGGCTTCCTGCAATTTCTAGAAGACCAGCTGCACTTATTGTTGTACCAACATCAATCAGGATTATCTCGCTTTTATGGTTGAGGGACGCTTTTTAAAGGGGGGTTTTCGGGAGTGGAGGAGTGTTTGTTGTTATGATGAATATTAAGGTAACGCGTGAGGGTATGACAGGGATATGTAAGGTCATTTTGTGTTGCCTGAGGTTCCAGTTTGACAGAATGAACATCAGTGATAGGGATTTTAGAGGCCCCCATAATACGGTAGCAGATGGAATGTGACGATATGCGCTTGCATCTGTTAGGGAGGCTGTGAAAGGAGGGCCCCATCGGTAGTACGTTAACAAATGACCACTCGCATAGGTAGCAACATTTCTTTGGTGAGCATTGTTGCAACTCAATCCCGTGAAAAGTTTGTCTAACCTTTGTCGGTCGTTAGGTCTTCAGATTCATAGACTTTATTGAAGTTTCATAAGGTTCTGGTACATCACTAGTAAACATACCAGGTGTGACTTACCTGTTAAATTCTCATGGCAGAGCCTTCATTACTGCAAGGGATTGTGAACGTGGGTCTGTCGCTCGGTCCTCATGGAAGTCTGGTTCTGGAGAAAAACCTAACGATGAAGAGGGCGGGAAGAATGGATTGAATTAATTGTAGTTAATTGAATGGCATGGCTCGGCCTTGAGGGCGTGGTCCTTGTTGAACGTCATCTTATATCTTTTATTCATATTAAGTATATTGTTCTATCTCTAGCCTAAGCTGGTTCTATATTGTAGCGGTAAAAAATTCACAAAATAAATAGCTTTGTAGGTTTTCGAGATTGGATGCTGACCACATTAGTTTTAATGGACTCACCTAGCTGAAGGCGCTCGGTCATGCATCCGCACCAGATCACGAGTGGAAGCACCGTGCTCAACTACCCCTGCAATCGCTAGCCAGATTAGATCAGTCGATTCACGATATATTGATAGTCTATCAAATATATCTTCGAACCTCGTCGCTTCTGTATTTTGATTTCACTTGGTGGGTACGCTTCATATAGGTGTTACTGGTTAAAGCGTTTTAAAACTCTGAATACCAATGGCATATTCAACATCATGTGTTGGTGATTGTTACGATACGATGAGTTGGTGTAGACAATGGCATGACTACTACGTAAGATTAAGCAGTTGTATCATGACATATCTACAGTTTTAAGATTAGGCCTATTATGATCATAGTAGATCATATTTCTACAAAGTTTTCATAATGAACTATATTTTTCAGGTCCCTCAAATTCGCTTTTTTAGAAGCTGATATTATTATCGTGAGAATAAGAAAAACAATTCACACAATGTAAGTAGTGAAATTTGTTTGACACTTGTTACCAGAAGAGCTGCGTTTTTGTAAGTTATGTCTATTTTGTTATGCTAGTGCTTCAAATGTTGTATTTTCGGAAACAAACTACCTTTACGAGGATGTGAGTTAGCGTTTAAAAGTGCCGGTTCCTCTGCTTTTTTCACGATTTTTTGGCAAGTGAGGCTAAACCGTCTGTACAAGCTCGGTAAAATTTTTAATGGCCTACAGCTGAATTGCGTCTATTGACCTACGAGGGTTCTGACATTAACCTGAAAATTTGGTAACTGCATGTGCTAAATGTATTGGGGAAATTATTATCCAACCCATGGAATTCTAAGAACCATCTGGTTTAATGTTCCCTAAAGTCAAATAATTCTTTGTGGTTCTCGAGAAATATGGCACAATACACTGGATTATTTTTGTGACTAAAGAATAATTGAACCACTTCGGCATTCAACGGGGAGAACTG